TTTGCTTAAATTATTATTGTTTTACTTGCCCTGGGGTGTGTGATGTCACACAGACAGCAAAGTACACCAGAGCCCTTTGAACCAGTAAGAAACAGTTTACACAGTTTTGGATAAACTTTTTGTTTGAACCGCAAAATCCTTGAGGATGAAATGGTTGATTCAAAATGTTGACAATAATGTTAATGTATTCAGGACAAACTGCCAGCTCTGTTGTCATAGGATTTAAAAATGAGCTCCGAGATTATTAATCTCTCACTAAATTGCCTGCATGGTTCAGTGAGTTTTTGATGTGTATTAACTTGTTCTGGAATCTGCTATGTGTCTGCAGGATTGCTAGTGGTCCTTGAGTTGTGTTTTAAGACTTTATACCTTGACCAAATTATTGACAGTGATTAAGAGTGTAACAAATGCTTAGTTACATGCTGTCATACCATATTGACGCAGCTTCTAAACGACATTCAGCGTGACAGCCAGTGTTAAAACCTCTGAGTTATCCGTGCAGTCCATTTTAATTGATCTTAATGTTAAATAATTTCACAGTAAATTTGAGTGACCAACAAAATGAAATTTACTGGAACCCAATATCAAAATGTGTCTCAGTTCATTTATGTTTCTGTCCTTTCATTTCCTTTTGAATGAAGAGCGAAGCTACAATTTCGTGTGAAGTAAACCCCAGGAGTTAGAAAGAAAAATTGCTGGGTCTAAATAAATTTGGTGGGTCAATAGACATTTGAACGAGAAAGATGAGATCATATTTCTAGTCATTCGCAAGATAAGCAAGTCTGATCCTGTTGATATCAGGCTGTGCCATCTTCTCTGCACCCCTGGTCTGCTTCCTGCCTAAGGCTGCACTGCATCTCCTTGTTGGTTAGCTCAGATGTATTATGATGTGTATCCTCATCATAATAATAATAATTTGGTCACTCAATTCACGACTGTTTGTGGGACACTGTGCATTTGGCTGCCGCGTTTTGCCCACAAAATGTACAGTCGATTCACTTTACAGTATATCCTGTGAAGGGCTTTGAAACGTCTCAATGACGTGATAAGGCTCTATATCAAATGCAAGTATGGTTATAACTATTATTTATTGTCCCAAACCACACTTGGGGGAATGAATAGCTGCTTGAGTGAGGAGCCGACGAGGCTGGGGTGGGTATTGTGGCCACTTTGAGCCACTGCCACCTATTCCATGGGTATGTGGAATAAAAGGGAAGAAAGCTGAAAAAGTATTCTGTTTTAGTTTCGCCAAAATTATCGTTTTGCATCAAGTTTGATTTAGCCCTGATGGAAAAATGACAAAAATAAGCAAGTCACTTGAAATTTATATTGAGGGGGAGAAAGAAAGAAAAACCTTCCTTTCCCTCCATACGGATTGCATAAGATGGAGGTAAAAGGAAAGGGAAGAGGGGCCTGTAGTCATCTCTGGGATAGGCAACAGTCTTTTGGGACTTGGCAGAGCCTGTGAGAGGTGACAGTGAGGCTCCCCCAGGCAGAGGAGAGTTTCACTCCCTTTTGCTGCCTGCATGGGGGCACAGTTGTGGCTATTGGAATGACACCACACTCTGACCCAACTAAAATCAGTTACAGTCGGCAGAACTGTCCCTCTAGGGGATGTTCAACCAAAGAGATAATATTCATGTCAGAAACAAGTATCCTTCACTCCCAAAGGTCTAGATATTTTGACGTAATGCTTCTCTTTATGGTTTATAAATGGTTGGGTACTCCTGGTTTCCCTGACCTCCAGACACAATGAAACAGATAGGTGACTGTGCTGTCATGGGCTTGTTTGTATAGCACCTCTCTATAAGTTGAATCCAAAACCTTTTGATGGCACTTGGAGGCATTTCATCGGTGTTTGACACAGCCTTCCTTTGACTCAGGTTCAGCACATCCACTCAATGATGCCTCGCAGTTCTGTAACCCAGGAGAGTATTGAAGATACTCTCAATGGACAGCTAAGCGCCTTCAAAAATTGCCATCATGAAAGCATTGCTTCCATAGATTAATGGCATTTTTAAATCTTAGTGTTGCAAAAATACCACAGTAAAAAGTACACAATTAATGCCAAGCGAGAGGTTGTCATGATCTTTTTTCTTGTGCCCACTCTTAATTAGTGTGCAAAGTCAGCTTGCTTTAACTGTGTCTGGTATAGACCGGATGGGAAACTTGCAGATTACAATTTAAATGGGGACGCTCATTACTTGATAATGCCATTTGAAATGCTGGTACTCTGTGTCTGCATCCTTTATTACCCCACTGCGAGTCTGCTGAAGACCTTAGATCAGCAAGGTTGTTGTTCAGGGAATGAAGCAAATCATTCATGCATGCAGCGAAGCTTGGTTGACTGAGTTAACTTTGCCAAATGTTTCTCCTGAGTTGGAAAGAAAGGAAAGTACCGCTGAATGTTTGGGATGTTCTGAATTTACTTGTTCCCATCTGCCAGTTCATCTTTTCTCTCTAAATAAAGGGTGGTTTATAAGGCAAGTGGGGGCGGGTGTTATAAGGCAGGGGTGGATAGGGTACGTAGGAGCCTCAGTATTTGCAGTGCATTAAAAACATGACTTTTTCAGCATATGATTGATGTCAAAGAGCAGGCTTTGTAATGTCTCTCAATAGAAGTGAGAAACATTAATTTTCAATGAGAGGGGAGTATCTGCTAAGTGGCATTACTTTTGCTTAAATAGCAATATTCTGAGAGAGATTTTTCAATAAAGCCAGTACAATGTGAAGAATTAGGAAGGAGAAAAGGCGACTTAACTTCAGCCTGTCCTATTCAGTTTTCCCTCCTGGGTTAACATTTGAATATGAACATACCCACCATATGCTTCACTTTTAATGCACGAATTGAGTGTAATTAATCAGCCATCAGATATTTGAAGAGGTTTGGTTACTTATCTGATCTGTTTTAAAAAAAACGCTCTCCTGATTCAGTGACAAATAACTTGATGTAACCCCCTCAATGAGCATAGCAACTGACTATTATTACAAAGTCTTATTAAACCTGATAAGTGATTTCTTTGATATTCAAATGTGTTCACATTTATAGATAATCTTGAGAAAGACCTTTTCAGACTTCCTTTGAAAGGCTGTCAATAAGCAGTTCCATGTGGCCACAGTAGTTATCACCAACTGACAGACTCGACAGTGAAGCTCATTATGTTACCTTATACCTTATCATACAATCTTATCACAAGAAAAAGAAAGGGACTTTCTATAGTTTTGTATCCTAATAGACTTTAATGTCTTTGTTTTCTGCCCCACAAAACCTCTTCAGACCCAACCTTCATGTTGATATTTATATGAATAGATATGAATTATAATTCCTACTTTTTTTCCGGTTTCTTAAATTTCTCTATTTTCTTTCACGTTACGTCTTTACCCCTTTATTTCTTTTGATTGATTTTTTGAATATATATATATATATTATCATCTTCTTAATCTTCATTTCTGTGTCTGTAAAGCCATTAACGTGGCAAATTGAATGCAAATCTGCAAGCGCTATTTTGCATTTGCAATCCCAATGCCTTGTGTCAGCAACCTTCTATTGAATTAGGGAAATGTGCAAGTGATTTTAATATAGCTTGGAGCTCAGCTGTTTAAAAATGTGCGTGACTAATATCTTGTATTTCTGTGTGAATTAAAGACAGGATTAGTAAACAAAATAATCAGCATTGGTACAGTAACGTGGAACCTGTTTAAAAAAAAACATGATAGAAAATGAAGAGGGCAGTTGCTTTAGGAGATGGAGTTTAGTAAGGTAATAGCAGTGTGTTTAAGTAGGTTTTTAAGCGATGATTCTAGAGCTAGAGCTGTTTTGCAGTAATGCAGACCAACCTGTCTAACACATCAGTGAGACTTGGAGTTATAGACCTGTCTTTAACTCCACGATTTGCGTTGAGGTTTTTGCAGAGCAAGTTAGCATTATTATATAAACTGGCTCCTGTACATCATCAGATTCGAGTGTAATACCAATTGATTCTGATGCGACAGTCTTCACACTGATTGATGGCTTTTGACTCGTCTTGTCTCTCCATCATCTGGTAACACACCTGAATATCACTTACCCTACATCCAAACTCCCATTCATGAAAGAGCTTAAATTCCATCTGGTTTAATAAATTGTCACATATCTTTCTCAACCCTGATAAACCGCAAGCTACCAAAGCCAATTTATTCTTTGCCAAGATGCTCAATAAAGAACTTAGCATCTATAATGCAGAGAAGTTTTGAAATGGTTCTCAGTAATTACTATTGCTTGTCGCACCTTTTTTGATGGGTAACGCATTAGCCATTTTACATAAAATTATGTAGACCGTACAGCATGGAAATAGGCCATTTGGTCAGCTAGCCTGTGCCATTGTTTTGTCCACAGGAACCTCCATCCCTTCTAATGCCCTCTCCCATACCCCTCTATTCCCTTTTACACACAGCAAAGGCCCTTAGACAGCCATGAGGTGAAAGGATTGTTAGCCAGAGAAACTCCCTTCTCTTTGGAATTGTGTCATGAGATCTTTAACACCCACTTAAGAACAAGCAGACGAGAGCTTGGTTACATTTGTCAGCTGAAGGACAGCATTACTGCTGAGTGCTCAGTATTATTATCTTGTATTTCCATTATTAAAACATCATATACATACCGATATTTTCTTGCCATGTCAATAATTAACAACCCTCATCTATATCCTTTATTTACAATTCACAGTGCAATCATGATGGTTTCATTTAAAAATAGATTTCTCTGAAATTACTTCCACCTCCTAATTTGCCAAATGTCACTCTATATATTTTTGGCATTTCTTAAATAATCTGTGAATTCGAATAACACCGTATTTCTCGGGTAGCGATCTCTGATCTGTGTAATATGCAATAACATTGTGTATTATTTCTATGCTTTCTTATCAAATGCATCCCTTCCTCATCTCTCTGTGTGGGGAGTTATTGCAATGGTACTTGAACCCCCTTTTAAATCTCTTGTTCCGCCTTGCTTTCTCTTGAAGGAAATTCTGGGAAAGCTTCATCACTATCTGTCATGAGAACAGCAGTCTCCATGGCATCACATTTGAACAGATCAAGGCTCAGCTGGAAGCACTGGAGTTGAAGAAGACCTATGTCCTTAATCCTCTGGCTCCAGAATTCATCCCTCGAGCTCTCCGAATCCAGCAGCCAGCAAGCGCTAGCAAACAACAACAACAGCAGCAGCAGCAGCAGCAGCAGCAGCCATCTCCTCCCAAGGTACATTGGTCTCATAGAGTTGGGTTGAAACCAGAAAAGTTCTCTGTTTCATTTATTAACCTGAAGTACAACGGTGCTTATAAAATGTGACCTTTTGTAGTTATAGATTTCCGGTGATGCATAAATGTTTGGTGCACGCTTACACTGTATAATAGAGTGATGGAACACGTCCTCATTCTTTTTGAGAGAAGACATAAGGCCGTATCAAATGCGAAGCTTATTATTAGTTATCCTCCTTTCTCTCTCTTTCCACCCTGCCCCATCTGCCCACCTCCTCCTCCAACTCTTCAGGTTGTTTCCGAAGGAGAGTTGAATCAAAAACAATCCATTTCTCAATAGCTGTTTCAAGGGACAGCAGGACAAATAATTGAGCATGGTTTGATTTTTACAACTCTCTTCATCGAATGTTAAAGAACAGAAACAGGCTACTTCACCCATCAAATTCTCTGCTGGTGTTTTCCTCCACTTGAGATACCTAATCCCACTCTCCTGCTCACCCTTGTGCCCTTTAGTATTCTTCCTTTTCAAGCATCTGTCTAATCCCCATGTAAAAGAATTTATGGATTCTGGTTCAACACTGGTTTATGGCAGAGAACCTGTGCTCAACTAACCTCTCTTCAAACAATTTTTGTTAATTCCCTTTAATTCTTTTTGTAATTACATCAAATTTGTGCCCACTTGTTACTGACTCACCAACCAGTGCATATAATCTCAATAAAGAATTGTTGGCTTTAATATGGGGAAGAATTCACCTAACTGAAAAAATAGAACTGTGTCTTTGTTGAAGCACTCCAGGACGTTACCTCATGTGAATAATAATAATAATAATAATCCTTGTATTTGATATAGCGCTTTTCACGTCGGGAGGACGTCCCAAAGCGCTTCACAGAACACACTGTGAAGGGCGCTATATACATGTTATTGTCCCAGTTGTTCCAATTTTGTGCTTGTGGTAAATGTCTGGAACTTTATCCAGGCACATTTCAACTATTATTTTTTCCCCCCCACTTTTTGGCGGGGGTTTTGCCCATCATGGCAGCAATTGTTAATCTTTGATTGTAAGATAATGGACATACTCAATCCAGTGACAATCTTTAAGCTCTTTGACGAAAGGCTCCTATGAAGGCTGGAGTGGAGGACATTTTTTGCCACAATCAGATTTCTCAGGCTTCTTATCAATTACCTGAGAGCTGTTCATGAACTGATTATTGGCTTCAAGTTGAACGGCCTGTTATTGTGAAGGTTTGAGACCGAGCTGAGCTCTTTTCCGTGGTGTAATGAATATTCAGTCAAACTCCTCTTGAGCAGCTTGTAAAGTAAAATTTAAAAAAAGTCTTGCCTTAATATTCAGACAGTTGGCATCAATTATTATTGCCTTCTAGCATGCGATGCCATCTGGTTCATATGATGTTTGGAGGTTTACGCAGAGGAGAGTGGATTCAGAGATTTCTTCTCCTCCCTTCTTTTGTTTTTTCCATCCGTCTCCTGAAAGTGGCTTTGGCCACAGGCACAAGCAGCCAGGACTGGAGGAGCTTGCCCAAGCAGACATGCTTCACGTGCGAACCTCGATAGTCAGTGTTGACCTGATGTTCAACCCTATGGGCTTCCTGACCCAGCCTCAGTCTGTTCTTGCCAGATGTCCATGCAACCACTTGCCAGAAAAGAAGAGGCACTGACCAGGGAGAGATCAGGGGTAGGATCCCTGCTTGATTATCTCTGCTCCCAGGCCAGGCAGGGAACCCTAAGGATCAAAGCTGGCACGTTCTAGTCAATATGCATTCAGTGTATTCAGAGTTGTAAATCAATCAATATATTTGAGTAGCAACACAGCAATGTTATACCTTATGGACGTCGCTTGTTTCGCTGTTAAAAAAGGTCAGTAATTCATTCAGTGTCTAATGTCCCACTTCTTTCAAAGGAAGCTTTAGGGTTTGATGGGTGCTGTGTGGAAGAAAGCTTAGTACGCCTTGGGACGTCCTCCCGACGTGAAAGGCGCTCTATAAATGGAATCTTGTTGTTGTTGTTGTTGGTATTGTAAAACCATTGTGAAAAGTGGTTCAATTGGCACTAATATCCTAAAGTACAATGACCAGATTAATAATTTGGTATCGAGCTGGGTTAAATTTATTTTGTGTCAAATTGATTGTCTGTAAACATTTACTAGACATGATTCTTATTGCATTGTTTTGTGGCTGAGCTGATGGTCTGCCATCAAGTCAATATGGTCTAAACTGCTCAACAGAAGAGTAGTATTCCCAGATTTTCTTTTTATTTGGATGGCCAATGTCTTGTAATTAAAAAAAATGGGGAATTGTTTCCATGATCTTCACAAGACTGTGGGTTGGAGACTTGATGATGGAATAATTTCTCCAATGATATGTATGCAGTATTAATCAAACTTTAAAAAAAAGAAGCGAACAAATGGAAGAAATGAGCCTCACATGAAGGGAACAGATGGATCACTTAGGCTATTTAGAAATCCCGATGGAGGAATTTTACCCTTGTCCTAGCTTCAGAAATTGCCTTTCAAGCTGCTTTATTTGAGTTGTATCTTAGTTACATGACCTAGTTTGTGTGTGTGTGTGTGTGTGTCTATGATTGGCCTGGAGGTGTTCATGTTCCTTGGCACATGGGTTTTCAATTCGCTGGAATGCAGCAGTTTGTTTCAGGCATGGATGCTTTCTTCTGCTTCTTGTAAAAGGGACGACTAATGTAGAACAATGGATGCAGAACAAAGTAGTAAATAATTGAAGCAGTAGCACTTAAGGACATTTTAGACTCTTTGGGTATATAACCTTGCAGAACACAGCAAAGAATGTTTTTATTTCCGTTTTATATTGTGATTTCCGACATCGTTTTTACCCCGCGACCAGTGTTTCAGATTGCAGGAGGAGAAGTTGTTACTCAGCACCTCAATAGATAAACAATTCTTCCCTCAAGAGTGGTTGAAGGCAGCGCTCAGCTTGGCTATGCGAAGGCAAAGCAGTGTGAATGAATCGCTCTGCACACTGCTCACTGCTCAGCCCCACTCTTGTTCCTGGCACTCTTCAGGGCGATCTTTGCCACCACTGCCTCCTTTGGTTATACCCAGTGCAACAATGGCAGCCAACAGCTAAACCCCATCTGGCAGTTGGAGCAAATTGGTAAAGAAATCCCCACCTAAACATGGTTTTAATGGGGAAAAAATCGTTTACTCTTGTCAACTTTTTTGCCTCCATATTCTCTCTTTCCTTGGCCACAAAATATACAGTCAATTCACTTTATAATATATTCTGTGAAGCTCTTTGAGACATCTCAAAACGTTATAATGCGCTATATCAAATGTGAGGATTATTATTCATTGTATTTAGTACAAGTGTTTTAACTGTATTTAGACGTCCAGAGGATCGATGTATGTGAGATAATGATCGTCGCCATGTTCAGTGTGACATCTTACGTAACATGGATGGATGTGACGAGGAAGTTACTGGGATCAGGCGTTGTTACCAATATAATATCTGTAACCTTTAAGGAAAGCGGATTTTGCGAAGTACATGAGCTATCTTTTGGGCAGATTCTGAGCAAAAAGGGAGTTATTGCTACCAGCTCCGGCAGACCTTGAGGTCCCTGACCCCTGGATTCCTTAACTACGTTTGTGTTTTGCAAGTGCATCCATCCACTTGATCTTGTCTGCCAGCTTGTGTGTGTTTTGATCCGCATTGCATCCTCTGAAGACAACCCTGTGCGCAAGATGTGCTTTTGAAATGGTTTAAAATTGTTATTCTCAATGCAGTATTTAAAAGCAGTAAAGATGTATACAGTTTGCTGGTTGACTTGCATATTCTGAATGATTTAGCAGTGAATATTTACTTAGACTTATTAATAACTCAAATTAAACGTTTGTAGTTGTTATTCAAGGCTTTGATAGAGACTGTAGCACCTCTACATAAATTAACGTGTATAATTTATTGCATGTTCCAAATATTCATAATTTCTTTACAATAATTAAGTTTTTTTNGGCACCTTAAGATTCATGTTTGTGCTTGGATGTTCCTTAGCAGTGCATCCAATCCTTAACATTTGAATTCGGTCTCCAATTCCGTTCATGTGAATTTTAATTGCAAATATAATTATGATCCAAAGCATTTGTGTTCGATATTTAAAACTGCCAGAATTATTCTGGAATTCTCAAGCCAGTCATGTAGAAAATAAATAATACATTTTATTTTTTTGACATGACGACAGGTTTGTCCGGCTTTCCATCCTTTCCAGTAAATGTGGCATTTGCGTTCTGATTTTAATTTTTTTTTAAAAAAACTGGCTTGAGGTGGGTGTAGTGTGTGACGGGGCTGAAACTGAATGATTGGTTGTGCATAGGGACGGATTACAGTAAGAGAAGGTTCACCAGTTTCCTGGTCAATAATCCTTCAAATAAAATCACTCACTTCATGGCTGTTGTGGGACATTGCTGTGTGCCAAATGGCTATTGTGTTTGTTTACAAAAATACACTGTCACGACACTTAAAATCCTGTGAAGTGCTTTGAGACGTCTCAATAATGTGATAATGACGTGATAAAATGCAATATCAAATGCAAGGATTATTAATATTTGTACATGTGGATTGATTGGATCTGCTGCTTTGGAAAATATGGTCCCAGCCTGTTCATCGGACTCATAAAAGCCACAAAGCGGTGCTAGCGAGTGTATAAATGGGGGCTGGATGAAGATGTTTATCTATACAAAGGGTTATACAGTACATTGTAGCGGCACAGAGCACTGCGCAGGTTGTTTGATGTCAGCAAAGAGTCAAAGACTCGATAACATGATGCTGTGGGGTGCACCTTTATGTGATATAAAACCCTTGGGGTCAGCAGATTGTCAGGAATGCCTGCTGGTTTACACAGATATTTATTTGTGTAGAATAGAAATTAATTGTGATTTTGCGAAGCTTATGTGAACCTATATATATAAAAAACAAATTTGTTCTAAAATGGAAGCTGTGTTGTCAGATCCTAGATACATTACCGACTGCTAATTCCAGAAATTGCAACTTCAAATCACTACTGCTTCCTGGTTTGCTGGCTTTCTTTTGCTTCCTATCCTGCTAATACAGCGAGTTATTTTTAAACGCCACTCTTAATTTATTTTTCCACGGATGAAAATAGTGTTCCCTCTTCGCTTGACCCTCCTTTGATAATCGATGATGTGATGAATGGTTGAGGCAGATTTAAATGATGCTGCTTAAATTTTGGCCTTCGAAGAAATCAGCGGGTGAAAAGGTTTCGTCAATTTCTGGTCTGTATTTATCTCTCCTTGTCTGACCTGTTTGGTGTGGAAGCTTCAAGAAAAAAGGCTTCACTGAAAATCATACAAGACTTGTTGATTGCTTAATGAGCTAAAGACTAACAGGTTTACAATGACACTGGAAAAATAAGTCATTAACGATTGCATTTAATAGCAATCTGTCAAAAACCTAGCAACAGCAGCTTCAAAAGCTCCTGAAATAATTTTTTTTCACTACTCATGAGATGTGTCTTGCACATCAAATACTGTTTAAAACACTTTGCTGTAATCGTATGAAAAATCAGGTTTAAATGTAAGCTTTCCTGCAGAAATATCTGGACCAAACATGATCCATTCCACTCTACAAATAAATGCCCAACTTAACACAAATTATTTGTACTGGGAAATTATCTTGGTGGTGGAGGCACTATTTTACAGAGCTGATTGGGATGGTTAACAGGGTCATAGGTACTTGAAGGTTATTGAGGGATTGGAGAAAGGCTGGGGAATTGGGATTAAAAGATGATCTAATGAATTGTTAGACCAAGCTTGATTGGCTGAATGATTTCCTCCTGTTCCTATATTACTGGTGTTATTACTATGAAGTACTGTTGTGTTACTGTTAGCTTGTTCAGATGGTTTGAATTGCAAACCAAGACTTGTTATTTTTTTTTAAAAAGTGCCCAGCAGTATAGGGGTTGGGTTGTGCTGTTTGCCTTTGGAAGTGGATTTGAGATATCCATATATTATATGGATATTATATTATATATATTATATTATATTATATATTATATATTATATATTATCGATATTATAAAGAAAGTGAGTATTGAAGGTGTGAGTGAACCAACTATGATTGAGGTTACGCCTGTTGGTGGGGGTCTATGGAGAAAGCTTCTCTTTCACCTCTTGGTAGAGCAAATTGTGCCATCCATGTATATCTGGGTGCTGATTCACAGCTGGCGTTTGATCTTCAGGGCGCTTTTGGGTTTTGCTGCTTCCCTCAGTTGACCATATGACCTCAACGCCTTTTCTTTTTGTTCGTAGAATAAAGCCCACCACCATAACCAGAGCGAACATTTTCCAACCGATGGATTTGGTAAGTTGGCTGCTCACAGGGTGTTTCTCTAATCCGCGGCAGCCTTGCTGTCCATGTCGTATGTTTCTGTGCAAGCGTCTAGTTCTACTTTATGAAAAATGGCTTTTGAAATTTGTAGGAACTCACTTTCCTTTCACATTTAATATTTTTCAGTTCAACCCAATCCCACAGTATTGATCGGAAATCCCATCAGAGCCTACACCCCACCTCTTGGGGCTCACCCACCCCTCGGTAAATCACCCAGCCCTGTGCAGCGGATAGATCCTCACACAGGGACTAGCATCTTGTATGTGCCTGCTGTCTATGGAGGAAATATGGTGATGTCTGTGCCTTTGTCGGTTAGTATTTCACTGTATTTTATCCGTTCATCTGAACTGATTGACAATTTTATAATCAAATGATTTTCTTCTCTCTTCCTCCTTGTCCTCCTCCCCCAAGTTTCAGGTGATTGCGTGCTGTGTGTGTAGTTCTACATTTTTAGATTAGCTTTTACACAACGTTTCTCATTAAAACCGAGTCGAAACTCGATTGTTTTTCTTGTTTTATTTGATTCATTTAGACGTGCCCTCAGGAAAGGCAGTGACTGTCAATTTCCTTGAGTTGGTTTCAGGTGCCCTCCACTGAGACAGTAAACGATACTCTAGTGTGCGGGAATGCAAGTGGTATTATCAGTAGCAAACCAAGCAGACATTAGACTCGGACAGAAATTGCACTCAGGACTCATATAAAATCATGCCTTATAGCTAATAGAAATTGTGAGGTTTGACAATGTTATTATCCCAAGCTCAAGCAATTGCTGGGAGGACACTGATGTTAAAGCATAGAGTGCATGTACTGACAATGCTGCTCCACAGTTACCCATTGACTGAGTCTATTCTACAGTGAGGTTTCTTAAATGCCTGTTCAGTTTTAGTGTGTCCTTTATAAGTGGGTAGGGTAGAGCAGCACTTACAGAGTCATCACCAAAATGAACGCTTTCAGACATTTTTAGCCACCAGATTGCGAATTCCCCAAAGGGAGGTCAGGATGAGTGACTTGTGCTGGTATAATCCTAAATATAACTTTGTTTTGTTACTTTTTATATAGCTGGTGAAATTGCTTGATATAATTAAAGTACCATTCTTGCTTGGGACATGGGTGTTGTTCATGCATTGGGTATGAATTGTAGGCACCCAAAATACTCCCAGTCGCCCACCACGTACAGCAGCTGAAATGTGCAGTCAAATGCAGGGCTCCTGTTGAATTGACATTTGTGCTTTTGTGAAGTCTAGACTCGATTTGTTCTGAGACAATTTATTCATGGGCGCTGGTACGTCTGTCCTCTGATTGCTCCCAATTAATGGATTTTTATTTGGTTGTCATCATTAAAGAGGTGCACTTAAGCATAAGAATAATTGTGCTTCCACGCCACCATTTCAGACTTTTAGATTTTCCTTCTAGATTTTCTTTCATTCTGTAAGGTTAAAGCCTGCGTATTATAGTGCTATTAAACATTCGAGTGTAAGATAAATTGTTCTTCTCAAACCACCTTTTCAGATTCAACTGATATCTTTATAACCAATATTAATTTGAGCTCTCCCAGTTTTTAATTGCCGGCTACTGAGGCCATATCATTTAATGAGTATTGGCAGGATCAGGATAACAAAGGAATCTTGGTCGTGTAATCTACATAGAAATGAGCCGCCTGAATCTCCCCCTGTTTCAGCACTGCTTCCCTTTCAATGTGTTTACATTGTGTGCAAGCTTCTACAGGCTGAAGATGATATTATGTGACCTTCAAAAACCCCCCATTTTTGCTATAAACCTACAGCTGATGAGTAGGACAAAGTCTGGCATTACTGAGAGCCTGTTGCTTTTTGGCTGCTTGCTGTGTTCACTGACAATTTGATGTGTCCAGCATTACTCAAGATAAGGGCAACTGTCCTGCAGAATGAAAAGTTCTGCTTCGTACCTGGTGATAGCATGTTACACACCCCAGCAGGAAAGACAAATGTCAGGAGGGGCGGGTGAGCACGTCAGGTGATTTGGATGCAGACAGCTTAACTTAACATCCAGAACCATCACAGAGAAGAAACTAAATGTTCTTCATCGGGTCTAATTGTGATTTGGATTATACAACAACAACAACAAAATTACATTTGTATAGCGCCTTTCACGTCAGGAGGACGTCCCAAGGCGCTGAAGATCTCAGGGGTGAAGGTCTGTGTTCTTCTGTCCCATTTCAGTTCACATTTTTGTGATTGCCACAAAGAAATCTAAAACTGGCATCAAATTGCATTATAAATTGTGAAGTGAGTGTCGCAAGCTCAAGGTGTGTAACTCAGCTCCTCCTGACCATGATCCATAAAAATAATCCTTGCATTTGATACAGCGCCTTGTCACGTCTTTGAGACGTCTCAAAGCGCATCACAGAATATACTGTAAAGTGAATTGATTATATTTTGTGGGCAAAACGTGGCAGCCAATTGCGCACAGCAGTGTCCCGCACACAGTCGTGGATTGAAGTGATCAATTTTATCCTTATCTCCCAACTACGGCAACATCGAGTTTGGTCTGCGGTATTTGCATAAAATTGATAAAAAAAAATGTATTTTTGTACACAAACCACTCGATTAGAAGTTGAGTGGGAATATTTTATTCAAATTGAGGAACAGAATTTGGTTCCTGCAGAGCCATGTTTGGAGCAGAAGGGCTGCCTCTTCATTGATGCAATGTGGCAGGCCTCAGCTCCCAAACTGAAAAATGAAGTGACATATTGTTGTGTTGGAATATTCATGCTGGAATGCTTTATTAAAGTAGCTTTTCAGATGCTGTCTTAGAGGGATTACTGCTGAAAATGTCAGTAGTGAATGCATTTGGCTTCATGGAGAAAATGGGTTTAACCATTTCACTGCCTTTGAAATTGGCGGTTGAAGGGAGTAACATTTAATTTTACTTCCCAGCCTACTGACTAGCTGGCCTCTCCCACTGCTCCCACACCACCTGAAGACAAACATGGAGTTTGCTAATAATCTTATTTATAAAATGGGAAGAATTTGTTGTTCCAAAGTTCAAAGGGAATCTAAAAATGTCTGCATCAAGTCGAATATTCCCTGTGCTTCAAAGTTGAAAGGAAAGGCTCAGTGGCCACGATTTGTAAATTGATTTGATGCTGTTGCAAACTCTCAGCTGGACAGGAGTAAGTGAAATGTGAAGAAGAAAATCTGTTGTTGTGAATTGCACACCTCTTTGTTTCCTCTTTAACAAGCGAAGATAAAATGTAGATAAACTGTAGCTTGGTAAATGCGATCTGAAAATGAATAATTCAGTAAAGGAGGTTTATATCCATTTGAAAAGTCTGACTGATTTGTAAATATTTAAACACCATTTGGATACCCATTTCCTCATTCCCTGCCCCCAACCCCTGGATAGAATAACTGCTTTCAGTTCATTTTTCGGAATTATCTGTGTACAGAGGTTGACCGGTACCAGGTGTAGGTGGTGCTATCTGTCTGTATTAGAGATCAGTGTGACAGTTATTCTATGGCGAGAGGCTTAGAAACAAATTGCGTTTGACACAAGCAATTTATTGGATCGATTTTCGTGAATAATTACGTTATTGCTGTTTTCTGCATTTCTAATGATTTCATTTTTGTTTTGTACTTATTGCTCTGATGTGGAGATGTTGCTTGCAATGTTGTGGAGGTCAGTGTGGTGGGCACTTTGAGTCCTCTCATATAGTTGGAGGGTTTCCAGCTAATTGATGTTTGACCTGAAGAGTGAGTGAGCTGCATCACGTGCTATGCACTTGTGTGTAATTGGCGCTTTTCATGAGATTACAGTGAAATAACTTTGCCTCTGAGGAAAGGGGTCAATTACTCAGGCGTGTATATTCCCATGAGTTGAAGAACAATGTATTACCTCAAAGGTATGAAAGCATAATTGAAAATGAATTGTTAATGACTATTCTTTCCTTTTAAATATAACATCTCTTCTTGCATAAGAGGTGTGAAATAGAGGATTGTTTGAGAATGGAAGTGAATTGGGGTGATTGCCGCTTATAATGATACTGGTTAATTCACTGGGTAGGATGAAAACAATTTTCACAAAGTGTTCTAGCAGAAAGATGAAGACACTTAATGGATTTCTGTTCAACCACAACACTCCCTTGATTTACCAGTAAGCTCCCACCCCATAAATGCAAATTGAAAACAAAAAGATTCACCGAAAGAGAAGCCTGGAAACAATTCCAGACTTTTTTTTGCTATTAATATGTTGGATTTCACAAGCCTGTGAACGATCAAGTTTATTGAAGGGGGATATTTGCCAGCGAAGGTGCTGAACTCTTTTGGAACACATTTTGTACAGCAGGACTGGTGGAAGTTGTGCATGTTTCTCAGGACACGGTGTGTGGTGAAGGAGGGAAGGTATGGCTGGTGCGGATGCAATTGGCTTGTTAAATAGATTATGCAGATTCCAGTCACTGCCTCTGGGAGTGTTGGCTAATCTGTCATTGAGTGCAATTTTTAAGTGGAGCATTAATCGACTGCTTACCACCACACCCCGCAGTCGGAAGTCCTCTATGAGTGAGAATGGCAATATCTGCTGCCTGGCTGGATTGGGCTGAGTTGGTAGATCTCAGAAAATTGTTTAATGAAGTTCATAGGATCTTACAACAAAGAAGGAGGTCATTCAGCCCACTGTGCCTATACCAGCCCTTTGAAAGAGCTAGTCCCACTCCCCGCTCTATAGTCCTGCAAAATTTTACTCTTTAATGGAAACCTATCCAATTCTCTTTTGAAAGCTACTATTGAATCCGCATCCACCACCGTTTCAGACAATGCATTCCAGAGTTGATTTGTGCCAGAGAATCACCATTATACTAGGTGCACAATCTGTTGGGATATAAAATGGGACTTTAAATGTGTTCAATACAAATGCAAAGAGAAGCTCCAAAAAGGTGAAATATGGAAATATGCTACACTAATTATGTGGTTGACAACTCCATCTCCCTGTGTAGACAAGGTTAATATGATGCCATTTTGCAGGTTATTCAGCCTATTTGTTTTAGTATTGCTGTGAAGTTGTTAAACAAAGCTGTGCAGTTTATTACTTCACTGTTAATCTGGATCACACTATCTGGTCTGAAGTAGGAGTGGAGCTCCATTTAAAATATCTCGAGGTGGGAGAGAAACTTAACAAATAATAAAATAATCCTTGCATTTGATTCACCGTTTAATGATGAAACTTTCTGGAAAGCAGGTTTTTTTCTGTGGGTACCACTAGCATTTCCAATTGTTGCATCCCTCAGACAAAATGGCATCAGGTCACACCAGATTTTCATGGGTTACAAAGAGACTCAATAAAATTATTTTTCCCGGTTGAGGAGGTTCTGCGATTTATAAATAGAATGTCATGCTCAGCCGTGCACTCACTGACTCCGCTGATGAGCTTGACTCTAACCAGCTTGCCAGTTTGCCATCTTCCCTTGAAGAGAGAATCTGCTACAACACTGAACAGCACATGTTCTACATGCAGAAACTCCTGTAAGATCTGAGCTGTGGATTGCACTATTATATCAGCCGTACCCTGAATTTGATTGAATTCTATTTAGACCAAACACTGTGTGAAGTTTAGATGTGATGCAGTTGTCAGGTGATGTGGGTGAGCACAGTTAGTAGAGTGAAAATATTTCAATTTAATTTTTTTCTGTGGATTGAAATATTTCCCTGTCAGTGTTCAAGGTTGTAATTTGGGCAGAATTGATGGGCTATAAAGGTTCTTCTCTTGCGTTCCTGCCAGGATGTGGTTTCAGAAGGAACGTAGTTCTCACAAACTGCAGTATAAACATGATTCCATTGCACTCTAATCTGCTCGGCGCCTTTGTGTGCTGGTCACTCATTCACGGGCACATTTAAGCTTAAAAAAAAATTAAGTATTTTAAGGGATGTGACTCTTAAGTGAAACCACAACTGCAGTGAGTCAGAGTTGAGCAAAAGGCAGAGGAACACAAATACTGACATTAGAATTGTTCAAAAATGTATTGTGCAGAGGAGCATTTACTGTATAAAATATCGCTGTGACTCCTGAACGTTTAATATCTGAATACTTTTTAATATGTTCAACCCTCTGAATTTTACTATATTATCCACAATTCCAAATAGTTTTGCCCCTGACTTTTACAGTGGTTTAGGAATTGATGCGAGAGATAGCATTGGATTGTAGAGGGGCTAGATTGATGTTTTCACTGTTGCTGTGGTCTGATCAGGATTCCCTCTCCCTCCACCCAATCCACAGGTTCCCTGGCCGGGTTATCAAGGCCGTTTTGCAGTTGATCCGCGTATTATGACTCACCAAGCAGCCATGGCGTACAACATGAACCTGCTCCAGGCTCACGGGCGCGGATCTCCCATCCCATACGGTCTCGGTCATCACTCTCCACTTGGGCTCGGGCAGCAACATTCAGACAAGGAGCTTGAACAAAGCAGAGCTGGTGAGTCAATTCAACTCTGCACCTGAGCAATACAGGAGCTAGCTATCAAGTGCAGTAGACTTGTAATCTCTCCCAATGATAATAGTAATAATATTTGCATTTGATATAGCTCTTCTAACACAGAAGCTTTCCAAATTGCTTCAAAGGTAGTTGCTGTCGGTGTAGTGACGGTGCCTTCGTAGGTAAATGCAACAGCCTATTTACATGTGGTGAATGTTTACATAAACGTAACCTTTTTGTTTTGCAAAAATTGCAGCAAAAAGTGAAGGAAACGTAAGACCTGAACAAAATAGACTTCAAACACCTGAGAAGAAGCCGCCCGATTCGAAAGAGAAGCAGGTATGTGTTCAGTATTCTGTTTCCATTTAATTTAAAGGATGAGAACACACTTGTACATTGGTGATATTTCCCTTATCTGAGAGCTTGTGTCCTCTCCCGCACTCAGCTCTGTGAGCCGATCACCCCTACCCTCGTCCTGCTCACTGGGTCCCCATCCCCCAGAGGATCGAGTTCAAGATCCTCGTCCTAATTCTTAAAGCCCCCCACTCTCTGGAGCCCCTCTGCCTCGCCCCCTTGCCTCCTTCAAGCCCTTCTCAAGACCTTCCTCTGTGACCGTACCTTCCTGGTCGTCCTCCCAACCCGATTTCCCTAATCTCCACCCCTCTTAGCTCCAACCCCCAGCTCTAGTGCAAACCCTTCACTGTCCAGCGCCTTGGGACGTCTTCCTGACGTGAAAGGCGCTATATAAATGCAACTAGCAGCAGAGTGAAGGGACTTGATTTACTAGCTCAAATTTTACATCTCGGATATTTAACATTTTTAAATATGTTTTGGATTTTAGAAGTGGTTGAGAGCTTGTCAGTTTGACTGACAACTTGGATAATAAACATGAACCACACTAAGATGTTGCTTATCATAGCGTTTTAAGAACCTTGTACGGTTCAAACCAGTCGGTGTGTTTTTTTTGGATCCGCCAGGTGTTGTGACTGCTCTTGTTTGTTTCCCATTAGACAGATCCTGAGTTGCTGGTTCAGAACAGAAGCCCGGAATTGCACTCCAATCTAGGCTATCCCATCCCTCGATTTCACCGAAAGGACAATCTCCCTCAAAGACAGCTCAATTACCACCTGGCTCCTTCCCACCCGCCACCATACCATCACCCTTCCAATCGCCAGTACCCTCACCAGCCAGCCGTACCCAGACAGACATACCCCATGCAGCCCCATCAGCTGCCACAGCAACACGGTCAGATACAGCAACAGCCTCCCCCATCGCAGCTCTCCCCCGCTTACCCGCAAGTCCCCAACCACAGTTTTTTCCCGAGTGCTCATTCTCACCAGTCCCAGCATTCCCCGAACGCTGACAGCATGTGTCCAGATCAGCCCCTCCCAGGGCTGCTGCAGGAGGAGCTGAACCCTCTGAGATCAGTGCCACACTTCGCTAACCCCCAGGCTCGTCCCTTCAACTTCATTGAAGACAGTACCTCAACACCAGGACCAGGCATGGGAGATATCTTAGGTGAGGCACTTTATTTTGCCCTATATAATAATCCTTAGAAATGATCCTTACATTTGAAGTGGTACGATCATCTGAAAATGTTTTCACAGGTAATCACTGTGAAGTGTAGTAACTGTACACTTGTGGATAAATACCTGTCTGACGGCCAATTTGCACATAGCAATGTCCTCCAAACAACCGTATTGAGTGTGGTCACTGGGGGGATTGTTGACCAGGAGACTGAGAGAAATTGCTTTCTATTTTCGAATAGTGTAATGGGATTATTAACATCCACCTGAATTGTTCTTTGGAACAAAGGCCTAACATTTTTCACGGTTTTAACCTTGAGAGCATTGTTTTAAAATGTAAGTTATTCCTAAAGAGGGCTGCATAAAACTGGCTTCTAAACTTATGACTGAATCAAAGAGATCTTCCTAGTTCTATATTGGATAACAATTGTCTTGCGACTGAGACCAGAGTAATTTAAAGCTCCGATCATGACGTTTGATCATAACACATTGGTAAAACATTATCCATTTCTCAAACCTAACCTTCCTCAAATATCAGAAACACTGTGAAGTTTAATCTGGACTCCTATAGAGCAGTTTGTAATCGGCCCTAAATAAAGTTGGCATCTGAGTCCTGTGACAGAAGGTGTCATAATATTTGTCAGACATCAACTGACAAGTATCAAATCATTTCACTAACTTCGGCTCTCCCGGGGTGTTAACTATTACCAAACTATTCCATTTGTTTCAAATCTCAGTACTTCCGGGGTGATAAGCCTTCAAAAAGCAAACAAAACAAAATTGGTCGCTCAATCCACGACTGCCGTGTGCAATTGGCTGCCGCGATTTGCCCACAAAATACAGTCAATTTAATTTACAATATATTCTGTGAAGCTCTTTCAGGCAACATAAGACGCTATATCAAATGCAAGGATTATTATTATTATTATTGCTTGCAGAACCTCTGCACACCAACCCTGCCGAGGATCTGATGAGACAACACTCGAGGATGCACCAGTGGAACGAGCACTCAGACTATCTGAACGCAGGCAATGCCCCACCGTATCCTCCCCCACAGCAGCAGCTCCCCCACCCACCCCAGCAACACGTCAGGTATCCACAGCAGCCGCTCAAAGGGCAGTGGAAGTACAGCAACAGTTCCGAGGAGGAGAATGGTCCGACATATCAGAGGTAATGTCCTTGTCCTCCCTCGCTCTGCGTATCTTTAAATATTTTGAGCTGGTCATTAAAGCTTGGGTTCTTCATGTAAGATTTTCTGCAAGTGACATAGTTCCCACGCATCACATTCTTGTCCTGTGTTTTATTGGGGAGGGGACAGTGTGTGGGGGGTGGTGGGAATTGACTCCAATGCTAACTGGACAAAGGCCTCCGAGCGAGCATTTGTCTTGAGAGAATCCTAGGCTGAGGCAAATAAACACCTTTTTACTTTGTGTGGATGGGGAGGGTTAGGAACGGCTCAAAGTAAAATCCATTTCCCAGATCTTTGTTGTTATTAACAGAAACTTAGACACAAATATTAAAGCTTATAAACTCGAAACGTATAAACCCTCTCTTGTGTGTTTTGGCTTCAGATTCCCAGGTCTGCTCCGAGAGATGCCAACGTCAGATCAGACCGAGAACAAAGAGCTCACAGAGATGCCCCTGCAGTCCCGATTATTGCAATACAGACAGATCCAGACCCGAAACCCGCCCGCACACCTTGCCTCTGCTAACTCTAATCACAACAGTCAGTTTCCCAACCTGAACGACAACGGCCCTGCTCTCGAATCCGTCGGAAACCCGGCGTTCCAGCACCTCCCGCAGCAGCAACTATACAATCCCGCATACCCCATCCCATCAGGACACACTCCGCCTCCTTCTGCCAAGTACCTGCAGCCAGAAGGCTCCTGGACGCTTCCCAGTATGCAACAGAATCACCTTCTGGGGCAAAGTATGCAGTATAATGTTTCACAACTGCCTCATCGAGCAGAGCCACCTCCCATAATGTCTCTACAGCACCAACAAAATAGTAGAGAGGACTCGTTTCACCCCGTCTCTTCTCGGCCAGTGTCTGTCTCCTCTCTCCACAGTGTAGAAAAGGTAAGGAGCCTTTTACTCGCTGTTAGTGGGACAGAGTCGGTAGATCAGCGGTAGAGTTGGAAGTATGGAGGAAATTGCGGTGATAGGGAGGGGCAACATTGTGGTGGGATTTGAAGGGCAGGATGAGGATCTTGAAGTCGATCTGTTAAACTGAAATGCTCACACAAGGCTACAGTGTAACGGGGAACAGATGTTCTTAACACAAGTCTAGCTGAAGGGAAGAATAAAGCTTCACTTGACTGCAAAACATCACATCAGCATTGTGCATTTTGGTTCCTTCATTTGTAATATTGTAGTGTGAGCTCCAAACGTCTATCTGTTTCCTTGCCTCCACATTAGTTTCAAATATCACCTGTTTTCCGTACAACTATTTGCTCAGGAATTAATGTCCCGTAGGTGGTGTTAAATAGGGCGTCTGGTAGTTTGACTTCACATTTGCACAGCAATGTACAGAAAGAGGGGAAAAGCATTGCAGTCCATCTGGCCAACCCTAAAAAAAAATTATACTCTCCTACATCTCTCGTACCTCTCCATCATTTCTCTGCCAAATAGTTGTCTGATTCCCGCTTGAATTTGCTGACACATTAAAGTTCAATTAAAGAAATCTCCCTGTCGACCCAGTGGGATTGACAGCTGTTGAGATGTCGCAGTGGAACCTGTGTTGAGCAGATGGAAGGGCTGCAGATTGCCTGGGACGTGGAGAGCAGCTTGTGAGGGGAAATGAGGTCCACAGAGAAAATCCGCACGTGGTGTACTGCTGATTGAACAGTTTTTCTTTTTCACTTCGATATGCACACTCGCGCACACATGCACAACAGCTGCTTGGTGATGCACGTTCTACTTGTACTTGTCCTACAGTGGTGAAAGTACAGTGCCCTCTAATAGTTTTCAGTACAGTACCCCTTGATAGTTCCAGCTCAGGTTTGGAGTGCTTAAGGGAGAGGGGAAGGTGCCATGGGGATAGCCTTGCTGGAGTGGTTTTGTCCATTTCATTTGCCAAAGCACAGTCTCAGGAGATGGCAATAAAGAGACGTCTCTCCAAACAGGACTTCACTTTCATTTAACTGTGACTTGTCAATCACAGGTTATCAAGTCCCTTCCTTTATTGAACTAAATCCTTGAAATTTCCTGATGAGATATCTGAATTGGTACTCATCTCTGTACTGATGTCGCTGCCAAAAAAAAACACAATGTGCAAGATTTTATACAGAAGGATGTTTCTTTGGCAGAAATCCAGTTGGCAGGTGACTGCTGGCAAGATCTTGGATGCAGAGAGAGCTGCAAAACAGCCTTCCTCTTTCACCTTAATCATTGATCGGTTTGTGGCAGTCACTGATAGCAGGTTGTGGAGCTCAGTCACTTGCACAGAAGTGGGTTCATTATTGCAACAAACAGAGCACTGATTAGGTTTGGATTAAGAGGACTTTCTTGTGGGCTTGGTGGAAATATGTGTATTGAATGGAGTTGAGCACTGCTCTTTTGACAGAGCTGCCTATTTTTAACAAATACTTTTCCAATTTTTCGTCTCAGATGCTAGCAATCAAAAAGCATCTAATTCACACTCTTTAGTGTGGATTTATAAATTACTCCTGTATACAATCATACGATTTTCCAGGATAAAAGGTGGTTAATTCAGTCTGTTATACATATGCCAGCTCTCTGAAAGAGCTATGCTATCCATTCAGCCTTAGGTCCCATCTACCTGTTACCTTGCTGACAATCCTCCAGATAAAATGGCTGCAAATTGGCTGTCGTGTTCATCTACAAATAATTACTACGCTTGACGGCAATTACCTGTGAAGCACTTTGAAACGTTGCGGTGTTCTAGACATGAGATCAAATGCAAGGATTATATAATAAAGTAATAGCGTGCTAGGATGGTGTGCATCAAAGCCAAGTGACTTCTCTCACCTTCCTCCTGGATTCCAGAAACGTTGAGTTATGTGTTCTCCTTTCTGGAGCAGGGTAAGCGGGCAACTCTCAATGTTGAAAGTTTCAAGTACGTCGATGTTACATTGGTTCTGTTATCCCATTTCGGAAGAGCTAATAGGAACTGATTGGGCTGCCTGGGATTTGCCTGGAGAAACGGCAAATTTACATAAAAATACATTGAACAAAGAGAACTGTTGATCAAGGAAATAGTAAAGGGTTCTTTGGGTTTAGCTGTCTGATGTGTATGTCAAGGCTTTTCATTTGTAAATTATCCTCACAAGCTTTGAAAGTCCCCAAACAACTTTAGTGTTATCCCTGAGCAGTAACCAGAATTACTTGTTTGGAAATGGAAGAGATTCCCCCGGCTAATCTGCCAGTTTGTACTCTGAACTGAAAGTGACGTAAGAAATTTACAAAGAGGCCCATTAATATTTATGTATGAAAGTGGCAACAGGTGGGAATTGTCCGGAGTGCTTAGGTCACATCAAATCCAAATCAATAGGAACTTAGTCCAAAAGCGAAGTGCGGAAAGTTATAAAAGGGAGGAAGTGAATAAATGATATAAATGAGATCAGAAACAAAAGCAAAATTCTGCAGATGCTGGAAATCTGAAATAAAAACAGAAATCGCTGGGAACATTCAGCAGGTCAGGCACCATCTATGGAGAGAGGAAAGTAAGTTAAAGTTTCAGGTCAATGACCTTTCGTCAGAACGGAGTGTGAGACCAGTACTGAATTTGTGAATTCAGTATAGTTTCTCCTGGACGTTGCTGATTGACAAACCAGCCTGGCTCACCATTAGGACTGGGAGGGGTAGACATGTCATGGGGGGGAAGAAATGGAGAGATTCTTCCCGCTCCACTCATGGCAGACAGGTAGTGGGTAACGCACCAGTGACTTGTACTGGTAAGGTGTGAGGTTTCAGTCAGTTCAAGTACAGCACCTCAACCCCCACCCCCAACCCTTGCGTGCAATTTAGAGTCTCTAACTCCATGGCACTTGCAACTTGTGCCTGTGATCTCTGGAGCTGGGCCAGGATTGACAGACATTCCTCTGTGAGGCGTCAGCAGCTGGAGCAGGAGGGGAGGTGGTGCATGTGTCAGGCTAACCCAGGAGAATAAAATGTTGGTTCATAAATCACAACATTGCAAATTCCTATGGAGCCTCTTTTCCCAGTCCAAGGCATACGGTTGACAGACCTGGCATGTAGAAAATATTTTTGGGAGCTTCTTCCTTACTTGGTGAATATTGGATAAGTTGTGCTCCCAGCTGGCTTTGGCGGAGCACAGAACTCTCAGCCTGAGCACAGACAGAGTAATAATTAGGATGTGACTAACCTAGTACGAAATGTGCAGCTCATCGTTCTATCATTTTATTTCAGTGCAATATCAGTGGAGATGAAATGAAAACATCTTATATATTTCTTCCATCGCTGCCTGTGGTGCATTTCATCTTGTTCTCTGTGTTAACCCGCTAAACACAAGACTTACATGATTGTTTCTTATTACTGAGCGCCTCTGGATTAAGGTCATTTAAACAAAAGGCCCCTTGAGATTTATGATTAAAATGAATACTTGAAGGATTATTTTTTTCTTTAAAAAAAAGAGATTATTTCACAATGTCCTTGTTGCTCCTGGCCTCAGGGTTAGTCTGGGATAGCCAGTGCTCATTTGCTCCCATTTTCTCAGGCTTTGATCTGCAAGCTGTTGAGGGTTTCACATGGAATCTGTTCAGGTTCCTCCAGGTCAAGGTTCCAGTATGAAAGTTACCTTAAATTCTGTGCTCACCATGAGTACACTGGTCAGTGCAGCCCTTTTGCAGACTGAGGAGAGAGTATATGGAAGGTGGAAACCCCACACTGGGGCTCGGGTCTAGTACTGTTAAGGTTTACGATGTATAGGAATTCTTGCCATGGGCTACTGTTCAGCGGAGAGGGTTGGAGAGGGTCCCTGAGTGCATCATGCAAAATGAATCTCGATGGAGCTCACAGTGGATCTGGGTTGAGGGAGTGTTGGAGTGAGGGTGTGCGTGTCTTGGGGAGTGTTGGAGTGAGGGTGTGTGTATTGTGGAGTGAGAGTGTGTGTGTGTGTGTTGGGGAGTGTTGGAGTGAGGGTGTGTGTGTTGGGAAGTGTTGGAGCGAGGGTGTGTGTGTGTTGGGGAGTGTTGGAGTGAGGGTGTGTGTGTATTGGGGAGTGTTGGAGTGAGGGTGTGTGTGTATTGGGGAGTGTTGGAGTGAGGGTGTGTGTGTTGGGGAGTGCTGGAGTGAGGGTGTGTGTGTGTGTTGGAGAGTGTTGGAGTGAGGGTGTGTGTGTTGGGGAGTGCTGGAGTGAGGGTGTGTGTGTTGGGGAGTGCTGGAGTGAGGGTGTGTGTGTGTGGGGGAGTGTTGGAGTGAGGGTGGGTCAGTGTCCCACAGCCGTTGCTGTCGGCACCTGTTGTCATGTTTATTGTGTAGATATTGAGTCTGTCACTTGAGAGGAGGTTGGCTTCTTCCAAATCGGAGTTTCACTTGCTCAGCACTTGCGTAAATTTACAGCCCAGCTAAATCCATCTCGCACGCTATGTAGTTAATAATGTAACTGGCACATGGCTTGGCTAATTCAAATGCCGTAAATCTCAGAAGTTAATTCAGATCCTCTCAGTGGTGTATACACGAGCCCTGTTCACTCAGAACTCTGCTACATTCTCAGTAAATTGAGCTTCTGCTCTTGAAAAAAGTATTTGTGTAAATGCAGTGGCGTTGGCTGCACAATCCTGCGAGGTAAAGGGCAGCTGCATCTCCCGACACACAGCTCCGCCCCAGCCTGAGCACGCTCACTCTTGTAAACTGAGCCTTTACGTGAGAATATTGACAGTAAAGCTTGATCTGACCAGACCATGTGTGCCTTGTGGGGAACATGTTGGTATATACTGCCAGTTTGTTGTCTGTGAACCTAAGTGGGTTAAACTCTTTACACGTGTAAACTGAGCTGCAGTTTGAACAGATGGAGTGTTAAATTCTGACTTAATTCAAGCTACTGATGTGATTCTTGCGAGCGAGCGAAACCACAGACACTACTGACTATCAGCGCTCGGGAACGTAGATGGTATGAAATCACGTTTCCCCCGAAGCCTTGTAGTCCCGTTCCTCACTCCTAATATGTTCCAGCAGCACTGCTTTAACAGCTGAGAAACATCTCGGGAATGTGGCCCACCCACCTGCTGCCGCCTGAGATCAGGAATCTGTTTGTAATGAAAATATCCATTCCAGTTTAGTGCTCGCAATTCAGTAAAGCTGTACTTATTCTGTATCAGGATCCTGCCATCATATCTTCTTTTGGTCCATGTTTTCAATTAAATTTTTTCTTTTCTCTTAAAATAGGGAAAATGTTTTCCCTTCTGTTGTTAATTGTCGAAATAATCTAACATAATCTAACGTCTTTTATCTACTCAAATTGAGAAATGACATTTAAATGCACAATATAAGCAAAGAATTTAAGGGAAGTAGGGATGAAATGTATTCACCGGGAATGTAATACAATGGAGGTAGTTAGAATAAGATTTGGATTTTCAGTTCACTGAACAGGAACATTTACTTAAGGGGGAAACTGACTGTCAGTTTACAAATGTTTCTCCAGAAAATAATTGTGTGAATCGTGCAGTTTGTTTCAGTGTACAATATTAACTGTCTCTGTGTTAGCCGTCTGTGGCAGTTTCAAGATGCTGAGAGACGAGGATATTCCCTAGTGTGTCAGAGTCCAGAGTCCCCTCCCTATCCTTCTAGGTTTCAGGACGAGGGGCTTTTTGGGCAGACCTTCTGGGAGTTTGGGAGATGTTTTATGAAAGCTGCTCGGATGCTGATATGAAGTGAAACTGCGCTGTGTGTCAAACCTAGAGCATCTCGATTCACAATATAAACCGATTACTCCTCAGTTAGTCCAAAATCCAAACTGGTTACTCTTCGTGATGCGACCAGAGGTACTAACAGTGGGTCCTTGTAATTGCGTGTTAAGTATCTCTTTGTGTGGGGAAAAAAAACTTTTTACAACTTGAAGTGGAGTTGGGTATGAATTTTTCAATTGCTATTTGCTCAGGAGAGATCAGTCCTGCTGACTGACATGTATCAAGGTTTGCATCCTCAATGAGATTACTGATGTGTAATTCACAAGCACAGTTACCAGTCATCCTCCATGTAAGGGACACAGTAGTCGTAACACCCTCTTTGGTAAAAGATCTGCAAACACCTAATAAACCGGAGGAGCGGCTGGCGGGCTGAAAGTCCTATTCCTGTGTTACCTGTTCCAGCTGATGATTCCTCTCTGTGTGAAGAAATATTTTATGGTCTCTGTGCTAAAATTGCCCTTCACACTGCCCGAACCTACGAGCTCCTGTCTTTCTGCCTTGGAGTTGGGAATGTTACATTAACCTTGGCTGAGGAGGCTGTGTGGGTCACCTTTCTGCCTGTTGAGGTGTGAATCCAGCAGGCACTGTGTGAAAGCACTCAGCCATGGCTGTATAGTTTGGTAACGTATTCAGTTCTTAAGACATAAAGCTAGTTAATTGGTCCATTCCATCTGCAAAATGGCAGAAGTCCTGGGGTTGTTCCCCATTAAGGATCCGAGGCGGTGGTGTTCCTGTGGTAATGAGCACTTTCACTAATAAGCAAAAGACATTTCAAATACAAGTTAGCATCAAACGGCAGGGTTTGGCAGAGCCAACTGTGCTGTCAAATGCACAAGAGAACTATGCATCTCTACAAAACATCCAAAATGAGACATTTGCAGTGTTTTTGCTTTGAGCACTGCATGTTTACCATCGCCCCTCTCTGTGGCTGCATGTCCAAATGTAAAATAATTGCCTACCATGTGTTGACTGATTTGAAGAGTTTTCAGATGTCGAATACGAGTGGCTAAATTTGAGTTTACTTTTTCTTGTTGCCCGTTGCTCTTCCACTGCCCCCCTATAGCATTGTGCACTGATGTAGAGTGTGACATTGCGTGAAACTTTGCACTGGGCGCTTTTGCTCTTTTTTTCCCCTTCTCTTGCCCATGCACAGATGAAGTGTTGTGCTACCACCATAAATTAGTCCTGTCGAGAATTCATCAATGCACAGCGCATGATTAGAGACTCCAATGGGGAAGCAGTTGGGAAGCCCAGAGCAGTTGCGCTTCAAGGCTGATCTTTCCCTCTTGTTTGGTTCTTTTTGTATTTGCTTGAAACTCTTCTGACTTTGATTGCTCTCCCACTAAACGTCAGCCTGTAAAAGTCGTGGAGGGTGCTGTAAATGAGAGATTCATTTAAATAGCACTGAGTTTGGTTAACATTCAGAAAGTAAACCCAGAGTGATACTTTCAGATACCGTAAAGGCAGCAGGACATAAGGGCACAGGTTCAGGGCTGTGAAAGGCAATTTGTGAACGAACACCAGAAAATATCAGAGGCAGTCCATGACTGGTTAACAGGACAAGTGATTGAGGCCAGGATACTGGGCTTCTTAAGGAAACAGACTCCACACATCAAGTTTTGCCAATGAGAGCTTCTACAGGGAGATGCATTGGAATGCGAGAGCCATGCTTTAAGATCGAGTAACTTGTTGGGGCCTAGTTTTATTTCAAATTAAAGAGTTTGCAAATATCCGCGAAGCTTCCAATGTACAGCTGGAGTACGAGAGAAGAAAGCCCCAATTCCCTGTGGGGAATACATACACATGGCTGCATGACATATACCATACAGTGGCTGCAAATCTTTTTAAGGGTAAATCATACAACACTTTGGAAATGCAATCAGCCCCAAATGTTTTGCAGCAGACTAGAGACTGTTCATTAAAATAATGATGTGGAAAGCCTGAGTTCTCCCGTGCGACAGAAACCTTGTGTCATTTCCTGTGGACCAGAAGTTTTATTTTTAAAATTTGAAACGAAACAGTCTAAGAAGGCGAGGATATCAATCAGCCATTCTGGTGAGAAATGAAATCAGGGAACGTTTCTGCTCTCATGAAAATCTGGAATGGACTGCCCCAGAAGGCTGTAAAGGATGAATCAATTGGCATTGATTCATCCTTTACAGGGTTTGGAGAGATACTTGGGAAGTACGGTCATTGTGGGATATGGGCAGAAAGGTGAGAAATTAGATTAAACATCTGATAAACTGGTAAAGCAGATTTGATGGGCAGAATGGTTTCTCCTCGTGCCCAGTGTTACCTGTAGAAAGGTGTGAAATGGAGAATGTGGTGGTGAGGTGCAATCTTATGGAGTGGCACCACATCTTGTTAATATCGTACAGCAAGGTTGCAACCTTCAACCTGGTTTGCTTAACGACTTTTTTTAAAACAGAGAATTTTAAAATTACAGCTTTTGTTTCTTACCATTGTCTGCGCTGTCCTGCTGTGATACTCTCAAAGATTTGTCTCCCATTTGTTAAGTTGCTATGGTATTAATGGTGAAAACAGTAGGTTACAAGGAGATTCTACAGACAACGATAGATAATGTGCTATGAGACTAAGTCACTCCTGCAGTTTCAGTAACATTCTGGAGCACACAGCGAAGTGTTGAGTGGTTTATAAATGGCAGCAGAACTCTTGAGATTGAATTACAGCCTTGAACTGCCTGTCAGCTCTTTGCTGTTCGCTATAATACAGTGAATATATTGGGTTATTTGAAATTTTTAACCATTCTGTGGCATCATGGTATGTCATAAAGATGGTGTTCACATAACGAGGAGATGGACTATCATGCAGCAAGTGCTGTATTATCACCTGAGCAGGATGAAGGTGACAGCACATTGTGAGTGAAGAGCTGAATGTGATGTACAAATGTAATAAGAACAGCATTTACATGGAAGGCATCCAGCTTACCGATTATTGCTGCCGACAGTCCTACACTGGAAATAAAGAACCTGAATTTGTACAGCTCCTTAGCTCAATGAAATGTCTTGAATCGTTTCCCAGTAATTATTACCGAATTGCAGTGACGTTTGGAGGCAAAAACAGCAGCCATTTTGCACATAGCAAGGTCCACATGCACAGCAATGAGATGAGCGACTGACTGAGTTATCACGAGGATTGTTGAGTATGACACCGAGAAGCCTCCCTTTCAAATATCCCATAATGACTTTACTTCCCAAGTATCTCTCTGAACCCTTTTTAAAACAACCCAATTGATTCAGCCTCTCTAGCCTTCTCTAATGTCCACCTGAGCAGGCAGCCTCACTCGAGCAGAACAGGAAAATGTAGGTTGACTGAATCAGAGGATCTGGTCACCAGAAGCAGTTACTGTGTGTGACTCGGTTCTTAACTCCCTTTAGGAATCACTGTATTAAACCCCATAAAAAGGAAAGAATTGGAAGTTTGGGTCATCTCCATTTTTAAACATTTGCCTTTCCAAATGATAGCCATTCAGGTCTGCCTCAAACACACGGTCACTACACTATACTAGCAGCAGTTCCCCGTGAACCACTTTGGGATAGTTTTGACCTTACAGGTTCTGTATTAAATGCAATTCTTATTATGATCCTGAATATTTATTAGCGCTTGATGGCGACTTACTGCTGACCACTAAGATCTGCTTCTCTTTTTTTTCACAAACAGTTTGAAGCCAGAGGACCTGGAAGGCCTTTGTACCAAAGAAGAATTTCAGCCAGTTCTGTTCAAGTGTTTCCAGAAGATTCTAGTAATCCTCAAGGCAGCCTCGGTCAGTGTAAGGAACTGCAAGACCACAACATCCATTCTTCATACAGTTACTCGTCTCCAGAGATGTGGGCGAACGCCAACTCCTCAGCTGCCCTCCAGAACATACTGTGCAACGGATCAAACAGAACAGTGGCCCCGAGAGACATGTTAGGTATGTGTGCGGAGGTCCCAGGCTTCAGTAAGCCATTTCCACCTCTACGAGAGGTGTTGGGTTCTTTCTCTCTCCCCACCACCTCCCAGGCATTGGGTGAGACAGTGGCAATGACTGGGCCTTACCCACGATTAGATATTGTCTACAGATGGTGGGACAGAACAGCAGTGGTAGATATAAGGTGCTGTGGATTCTTTCCATACTGAGGAAGTGGTGGGAGTGGGAGCAATGCCTGGGGGAGGAGGGGAGAAATAACTTTAGATAATGAGAGATGAATTAAAAAAATATAAATATATAAGAAGGTGGATGACTATTGGAAAAGTGAAAGGTGGAGTTTCTGGCCAACAATCATTCCGATAAAATTGGTTGTGCATTTCAGGGATGTTTGTGTGAATCGGTTGCTGTGTTTTCCTACAAATATACCTTGAGTACAGTTGAATGCTAGCACTTGTGAAGTGATCTTAAATGTTTTAGTGATATATATATATAAATATATATATAAATGCTGGATCAGTCACAAGGATTTATTTTTATTCGGCTGAACTTTACTGTCTGATATTTTGGTTGGTTCACAACACGTTATCACGCTTCCTGTAGATTACCTTGTGGTCAGTAAAGGTGATTTCACTGGTGCCCAGGAATAGGTTGGTGAAATCAAATTAACTACACATTAATTTCAAAGGTTATGGTGCCAGTCTTGCAATTAAGTCTCGCCCTGCTTTCTTATTAACATTTTTTATAGGTCAGCGCGTAAACAAAAAGTTTTCGTAAAATTTGAAATGAGCTTTTGTGGAAATATCAGGATATGTTAATTCCTACGATAGGTGAAATGGCAATTTGTGGTTTAATTGAGGCCACTATTTTCTGTCAGGGAATTGAAGAGGTTTCTTGGATGAAGTTCAGATCATGGAATTCTGCCCTCAAATACAGTCACTCCACTTTTACATTAACATGAGATTGCTATATCAAATCCAAGGATATTAAAGGCTGCTTTCTTCACAAAAGTGTAATGGGCCAATACTGCAGGTGCTGTGGTGCCCAACGATTTACCCACTTTACAACTGAAGGAGCTTAAATTAAAATGTTATAGATGATGTCTCCAAATCAGCAGGTGGTTAGATATATGCATATTAAGGAAAGGTAATTTTGACAAGAGTGACTGAGACTTCAATATGAGAGCGATACTTTATCCATCTGAAAGTGATCTGCCCGATGTAATCACGTGCTCTTAATATTCATCTCAAATCATTTCAAGCAAATGTGTCCATACGGTTAAGTAACAACGTGGTTTATTTAGAATGTCAATTAACTTGGGGAATACTTCCAGTTTTTCTGACAAATTTGGGGGTCAAAGTTGAACGGATGCCAGATAATAATAATAATAATCCTTGCATTTGATATTGCGCTTTTCACATCGGGAGGACTTCCCAAAGCGCTTCACAGAACACACTGTAAAGTGAATTGACTGTATATTTGTGGGCGAACGCAGCAGCCAATTGCGCACAGCAATGTCCCATAAACAGTCGTAGATTGAAAATGACCAATTTATTATTGTTTTTGGTTTTGGAGGGATTATTATTAGGCTCTGTGTGGAGTAAGGAAACTTGCCCAAGGTTTTGCCCTCTGCCTGGAATTGAACTCAGGTCTCTCGCTGTGTTGTGTACTCTTGTCTAACAATGTGTCCTAACCCCATTTGCTATTGCGGTCATTCTGCAAGCTGAGCGAGAGACAGGTTCGTGTTGTATCACTCTCCGTTTATCCTGCCTGAATCCTGGCAGGTTTCACATTTAGACTTTGTTTAGTTGCAGATTATTTTATTTGGGTCATGGTCGATGAATCTTTCCTGATAAAGTTAATTTTACTCCATAATTGAGAGCTTGATATAGATTTTCCTAAGTTGCTTTACTTTGATTGGGGCCCTTTCTTTCCCTCCTCTGCTGAGGCACTGAGTTGTGCTGGATAGACAGTTCCAGAACTGCACTCAAATGGCTTTCGTTTTGTATTGTATCACTCACTGAAGCAAGCAACCACACACACCAGACTGCACTCACTCAGAGCTCTCCGTACACGTACACTCAACCTTTTTCATATGAAAAATTGATGTGTAACATCTTCGTTGCCATGAACGCTGTCAGGTTTGTAAATTTACTCCCATCCAGCCAAGAGAAAAATCTCATATTAACCTGTCACATCCATTTTACCAGCAGAAAGCTACAGGATGGAAAGGGGGAGAGAGATGCAGACTGCAAAACGTGCTGCTGAGATGTAACAGAGATGCCTCACTTTTTGCTGTCAGGGAGAATCCTGCTCCTCAAGGTTGAGATGTTTTGGCAATTTTGTAGGAATGATTCTCAACCCTTGGGGGTGACAGGCAGTCTACTCAATCAGTAGCTCTTCAGCCACTGGGTCAGAAGGTTCTGGGTTCAAGACCCAAGCCATGGTTGAAGTTGTGTTTCGCTCACAAATTACACAGTTAATCTGCTTTACGATATATTCCGTGAAGCACTTTGAGATGTCTCAGTGACGTGATTAGACACTATATCAAATTCAAAGATTATTATTAAGGCTCCTCGTCTAATCAACACTCAGTAAAGTACAGCTGCATCGTCAGAGGTGCTGCACTGTTTCTGGCCAACTATCCTCCAGATAGAAAAATTGGTCATTGACCTCAAGGGACTTAAGTGTACACAATAATAATCCTTGCATTTGATATAGCGCCTTATCACGTCTTCGAGGTATCTCAGAGCAATATGGCTGCCCCACGTTTCCCTATGAGACTATGTCCCTTTGAGACTCTTCAACGTGATGAGATAGTGACACTCGTTTTTTCTCCCTCCTGCAGCTCAATCCAAGAATCTCAGACCCTCAGAGGAACACCTGAAGCCCGACCACCTCCCACAGCACCCCTCCAACTCCTTCAACTACAACATGCTGCAGCACCTCGGCCAGTTCCCCCCGCTCCTGTCCAACAACCAGATAGCAGAGTCCAACAGCCAGCAGAAAGCCAGCGGAAACAAACCCATCATGTCGTACGCCAATGCGTTACGGGCACCGCCAAAGCCAAAACCTCCCCCCGAGCCAGCTAAGAGAAACGGCGACCCTCTGTCTTTATTTCAGGAACTCAGCATAGGCAGTTCGTCAGGTAGCAATGGGTATTATTCTTATTTCAAATAAAATATGGTTGCTTTTTAGATTTTAAAATGAGAGTCAGAAACAGTCAGAAATATAGTTTGTTAAAGATATTTAGCAACTCTGTGATGACTTCCTGGAATATTTTTTTTTGGCAGATGGGTCTCATCCTGTGTATATTTTACATTAATTTACCGTACTTTGTAGTTGATCATAGAGATTACTAAATTCAATCTGATTTCTTTCACAAAAAAAAACCAAAAAAATCTTTGATATGCATAAGTAATTCTTGTATCAGCTCGGAAAAAGAAAAAAAAAGTTTTTTAAGCAGAGCATTAATTTTACAGTCACTTTTTAAAAAGACTTCGCTAGCATACAGTGCTGGGTTTCTGTAACAGAAATTGCCAGTTTATGTGGGGTGGGGGTGGGCTGAGGGGGGAGAAAAATTGTGTTCATTTCAAGCAAAAGTGTCTTCAAAATGTGAATTACATTCTGAAACATTTTGATCAACTGAAAGATTTTACTCTGTGTAAAGTGTTATTGTAAACAAACAGCTTTTAACTTAAAAAAATAGGATATATATTTGCTTAAACATACACACATGTATATTAAGATTCAGTGTAGACACAAGCCATTACTTTTTTAAAAAAAAAGCAGAAATCATTGCAGTAGACGTAAGCACACCTTGATTACAAACTGCTCTGCCTTTTTTGTTTTTTTTGGAACAAGCTAATGACATACCTTTGCTCATTGTTTTACTGTTAATTTGATAGATTTTTAAAAAATAAAAAAAGAATCATGAAGATGAAATCAATCTAGGGTAATGCTGGTGCTTCGTAGAATATTAACTTTAAGAAAAAACTGTGTGAATTTAGTTTTAAAAAAAAAGAAAAAAATATTTGTTTTCACTATGCATGTGTAAATGTTTTTAAATCTGGCTTTTTTTTTCCTTTGAAGGGTATACAGATGTGTGTAGCATTTCACAACTTTTTAATGTAGTTTTAATTTTGGTACATTATTTGATTGTTTACATTAAAATGTGACAACGTACAAGAAATTCTAATATTCTGCTAACTCTTTGTTTTGGGGATATGATTATAGAGTGACATCACTTTTTCGTGTGTTTAATCTTTGAGGCGTTTACTCTTTTTTTCTCCCCCCAGCCCCCCACCCCCCTCCACACACACACACACACACACACACACACCTGGAAATTATTAACCTTTGCTATCAACATTTTAGCTGCTATGACAGATTGTGCTACGTACGTAATGTTCATCCACACTTTTACCTTTATAAAATGCCTTTGTGGATTTCAGTTCCTTTAGTATTTGATTTCACTGATTCCCTTTAGTATCGTATGAGTTCTAATGTTGGCTGGGTGGCATTTTTATCAGGCATTTCTTCCCCCTTCTCCGCCATTTCCCCCTCCCCCTACACCATACCCAATCTTCTTTCCTCTTATCAATTTCTGTTTCATTCATCTGGGCATTGCAATAGCTGCTGCAGTCAGGAAATGTATAACGGTTTCCATCTGCTTTTATTTTTCTTTTGTTCAGTATTAAAGTATTTAAATTGGATTTTTGTTGCCTGCCTTTTTCTATAAATTTCAGGAAACGGTGATGCGTAACTTTTTTTGTGTTGAGGGGGGGGCCGGTATGTCTTGTTCTGGTGTTGTTTTCCTCACCTCACGAACGTTCCTGAAAGTTGGAATGATGACGTTATTCCCCCCCCAGATGTAAAGGAAATCGGGCAAGTCACAGGTGAGTAGGTTACTCGCACAGCACCTGAGAACTGGGAAGGTCTCCGGTAATCCAGGCCATTATTTCTGTGTAAGTAACCTGTCAGGCTCCTCGGCCAGACCTGGAGATGTGGACATGCCCTCAACGTTGTGAGCCAGAGTCTTACCAAATGGGAACAAGGGAGTGTGGAGGCTGCCATTGCTTTTTACAGATAGACTGCTATCATTACCTGTTTCATGTGCACCATAAAAGCTACATTTGCTGCCCTATTGCAAAGCTAATGATCTGTCGCACGTAACTACATCTCGTGCTTATTTATTTTAAGGGCTGTTTCCGGGGAATAAAATCCTAAATTAATTCTGCTGTGCTCAGTTCAGCAGTTTCTATATTTGTCTCTCCCTATACCAGTATAATTGCTTTGACAACGGGCTCCTGCACTTTTCTTTCATTAAATTCCTTTTTAAAACGCTCGATTTCCATTTCAAACTGGAGAAAATGTTCCCGAGGAAAAATATTGAAAATAAACGAAATTCTGCCCGAGTTAAACTCTACACTGCACCTTGTGAAACAATTTCTCCTGTTAGTCACTCCTCACTCACCCCTCACAATGAAGCAGACACTTATTTTTGAAAATCCATTTATTTGTTCTTTTATCAGGTCAAAGAGTAAATCGAGCACCATCACGTTCAGTAAAGAAAGGCCACACGGTTTCAGGGGTTTAAAATAAGTTTGCGAAGTAGGCAAGGCCAAGGGAAGTCGAACAAAATGTAGGTTTATTTCTTATAAGAGCAGTCGGGGTGTAGTAAGCATGCTATACAATCACTCAAATTGTATCTGACAATACACAGCAGCTCCATGCACTATTGCGTCTGCACTGGGACTTCATTAGCATCAAGCATACAAAGAGCTGAATACATCTAACCATGTACATTATCCTTTTTAAAAAAAAAACTTTTTTTGGATGCATTATCAAATTGCAGTGAAAATGCTTGTCTCACCTTGCATCACAGAGCGTTAAAGAAACAGTCACTACACTACATCGTAATTACGTGTGAAGGGCTCCGACTCACCGAGACACAACGAGGTGCTGCCAAATGCAAATTCTTCTTCAAAAAAGGCTGAACAGCTTATTCATTTCAGTACTTATTGTGCCCTTCTGCTGTCAACCACATTTAAACCACACTGTTATGTTTCAGCATAGGTACGCTATACCTGTTACTGCTGTAAAGGGAGTGTTTCGTCAGCATGCAAATAAACCCTGGTAAATGAGATTAATTTGAATAAAATGTTCCACTTTGTTATGACTTTATTTAAACCCTACTGATTTTGTCTGATCCTGAAGTCTCTGCACAATCCATCTGATATCAATTTATAATAATAATAAAAAATACCAATTTAGCAGTGTACAGTCTAGTAGTGAATGCTTTGCAATATTTTAGCTGTTATTGCTTTGTTCATGATTATGTGCCCAAATACATATGAACGCCAAAGACTTGGGACACATTTCAAACCACACAATGTTCAAGACGAATTCGGAACAAATACAATAAGCGCTCGCCAAGCTTGTTTTCCAGAAGTGATGTCTATAATACTGTGTTATCCAAAATTTTGTTATTTCTTTCATTGTGAGATGTGTAAACGGGGTCAATTTTATGGGATTTTTTAATTAAGAAATCTGAGCGGAGACTCCCTTCTGGCCATTGCTTTGTGCAGCTCTCTGCGACTGAATAAAGATTGTTAGAACAGAAATCCCACCCATCAGCATCAGACCTCCCGCATTTCTTAATTAAGGAATATTACAAGTGAGTAGTTGGTCTTCAAAATCACCTTTCAAACACTGCATGATAATATTAACAATAATATTCCTTGCATTTGATATAGCGCCTTATGTCTCAAAGCTCTTTACAGACTCTGTACGTATATTATATATATATATATCTCCCTGAAACTGTTGATTTAAAACCAGCATCTGAACGCTGATCACAGAACAGTCAGGCAATGGGAAAGCACGCAAATTCCAACTTCTAACAATTCCATCGTCGTGTTTCAGCACTTTTTTTTTAAGGTCAAAATGTTGCAATAGAGCGAGCTGGAGCAACCCGCTGAAGAAACTGTCTCCTGGGAAGTACAAAGTTAATGGACTAAACTGTGGTAAAGTTGGATGGATGACGTGCAGATTGAGTTAATCAGAAGCATCAGTGTTGAACTTGTGGTTGAGATGATCAGTAATTTCCCACGTTCATCATCCGCACTTATTGGCTGAAAACTGTCTGTTTTGTTCATGTGGCCCCATCCGCTCTGATGCACCAAACAAACAACATTCAAAGAGGGGATCTCGCCAGTCCTCCTCCGCCTCAAAATCCGTAACAAGGAATTCAAAGCCTTTGTGTTCCATCTCTGTGAAAACAGCAGACGACTCTTGGAAGTCGTGATGTGAAGTTAAGAGTTTGAGGGTGAGGGAGTAGAGTTAACATTAGTAGGGCTACTCACTCCCCAAGTACCCCTCACTCTTAGCCATAATAGATGCGCTCGCTGTGGTTCTGAAGATGAGACACAAATATCACGCTGTGTCGATGGTCAACTCAATTCCTTGTAATGTCTTTATTATTAAAGAGCAGCCGGAGACCAGAGGCGAGGCTCCCTCTGAACACTGGCCTGTGGTTTCACAAAATAAAAGCACTTTTTCCTGCACAAGCGCTGTTTCCCCAGCGAGCGCTCAGCAGTGCCTGGTTCCTCCTCAGTCTCGCTATTCCGGCGGAGCGTCCATGCACGATTCCCAGGGGTTTTGGGGCATGCTAGGCAGGGAGATCAGGAGAAGCGTGATCCCACCAATGACGAGGATGACAAAGGCAGCACAGGCGCAGGCAAAGGACCAGGCGTAATAGTACTGGATCCAGATGGTTTCTTCACTGTCGATCATTCGCTTCACTGACTGCCGTGTGACCTCCACCGATATGGCGATACACAAGCCTAAATAGTAATGATTCATCATTACAATCCTTGCATATTTTATAGCACCTTATCAGGCCATTGAGGCATCTCAAAAGCGCTTCACAGAATATCTTGTAAACTCGCTGTAATTTATGGGTGAAACGCAGCAGCCAATCCACAGCAGTGGATTGAGTGACCCCAATTTTTAAAAAATGTTTTACTTGAGCGATCATTACCCCCAGGAAAACAATCCGCCATTCGACTAATAATCGGGTTGCTGCTTATTGCTAGGTAAACAACAACTTACATTTACATTTATACAGCACTAAACAGAGGCGTGTGAAGTAAGGAAACCTGCCTAAGTTTTCACCCCGCCCGGGAATCGAACCCGAATCCTCTTGCTTGCGAGGCGAGCTCGCCGGGAACAACATTGGGGTTCATTTGGCAGCTGCACAACATATTGGAAGCCTCACGGGCAGGACCCAATTGTTCAACTATTGTTGCTTTGCTGTCATCATAAACATTGGTATGAAATGAAGGACTACTCTTCCCGCAGTGTTTTTCTGCACCAGCATCTGTTCCCTTTTCTGTGTGTATTTTGTAGAAATGACGACCGCTCAGTCTGTTGTGAAATATCCTGATGCCGCATTTCAACACACAAATGTTTCATTATGGAAGAGATTCTTTGGCTGCACACCAGCACAGCTGGCTATCCCTTTCTGATGCAGTACACTGACAACAACTTGCATTTCTATAGCGTCCCTCACGCAGGGCAGGGTCCCAGAGCACACTGGACATGTTCTCGACTGCAAAAGACCACTGTGGTCCATCTCGCTGGTCCCATAGGAAGAAATCATTATTCTTGATTGATATCTTTGACAAATAGCTATTTAATTCTAGGAAGAAGAGGCCATTCAGCCCCTCAAGCCTGTTCTACTATATTACGCTACGGCAGATCTTTTATTCCTTTTCCCAGGTATTTAGCCATCTTTCTTTTAAGCATTTTAAAAATTGTCTCTGCCTCTTGAGTTTACTGACCATCTATCTATATGGAGGGGCTGAAAGGACCTTGAGTGAAAGGCTGGAATTGTATAAAAGTGCAACAAAACAAGTATTTTGTGTTAAAAATTAATGAGCAACCTCCTACTGGTCAATAAAAGCCAAACCCAGTGATTATAAATAAAAACAGAAGTTGCTGGGAGCACTCACCAAGTTGTCGACCTGAAACCTTAACTGACTTTCCTCTCTCCATAGATGCTGCCTGACCTGCTGAGTGTTCCCGGCAACTTCTGTTTTTATTTCAGACTTCCAACATGTGCAGTATTTTGCCTTTTGCCCAGTGATCATAATGTGGAAACCTCCTTGTGACAGGAAAGCCTGACCTGACTTACCTGAGAAGGTCAGGAACATGGCCGCTGGCTTCAGGAGGTAGTCCAGCCTCTTGTTGAAGGACAGCAGGACGCAGACTGTGCCCAGGAGCACGAAGGCGATGCTGATTATGGCGATCGCTGCCGCTGATATGCTGAATTCTACACAGAGAGCGAGAGAGAGAGAGCAACAGACATGGGGGGGGGAAATGCACATTGTTTAATAGAAATTCGTGTCTTGAAACATTTGGACACGATTAAAGGTCTCTGATGTCTCGCATCACCCCTGAGTCGGATGCTCAGCTCAGCTATAATCAACCAGAGCGTGGCTTCGCTGGAGAATGATCAGCAATGAGGGTTCTGGAGTCCTGATATAAACTATAATATCCATCTGACTAACAGCAGCAAACTCAGCCCAAACAGGGCTGTACAACAACAAATTACACTTGTATAGTGACTTCCACATCAGGAGAATGTCCCAGGGATGTAATGTGGTATCCCCAAAGGATAGAGTTCAAAATCCTCGTCCTCGCTTTCAAAGTCCTCCACAGCCTTACTCCTCTTTACCTCTGTGACCTGCTAATTCCTTACCAACCTCTTCGCTCAGCAGGCTCTGGTCTGCTCCATGTCCCCCGTCCTGCCCTACCATCAGCAGTCGAGCCTTTGGTCTTTCTGCCCCAACCCTCTGGAACTCCATCCCACAGTCCCTTCGCCTCGCCCCCTCGCTTGCCTCCTTTAAGTCCTGTCTCAAGACCTTCCTCCTCAACCTTGCCTTCGGTCACCCTCCTACTCTCCCTATCCTCCATCCCACTCCCAGGTCAGGTGCAAATCCTTGACTGTCCGGAGCCTAGGGACATCCTTCCAATGTAAATGGCTCTGTACAAATGTCATTTGTTCTTCTTGTTTTGTGGCTCAGAACCCCCACTGTGTGGCGTGTTTACTCAATGAGCCACCAGAGGAGTAATTAAACAGCCAGAGTATTGGAAGTAGAGCACTGAATGCCTCCCGCTGTAACTTTCTATCTCATTCACAAGTGTGGCCGATATCTGTGTCGGCACTTCACCTCTCATGAATTGCAAAATCAATCTTAGCTTGTACAAATAAAAGATGTTAAGAATGTATCATAGAAGGAGACATTCCATCCAATCAGGAACAATACCCAGTAATAAGCCGTGAAGCAGAGTTTGTCCTAAGGATGAGAGAGAAATCTCAAAGCTCCTGAGTGATCAGGTTAAATAATCCATCAGACTTACCCTTTTGTGTGGTGACTTGGAATATCTCTGCATTCTCCCCAGAGGTAAAGTGTTTGAAGTAGGTGCAGTTATGCTCTGAATCAAAGTATGAAAGTCACAATTAGCTCTAGGAAAGAAACCTTGTACGTGTCTTTAAGGATGTATTTAATTTAATCCAAGAACCAAGCGATCTGCTCTGAAGTCCGTAACTATCTGTGCTGCAAGTGATCAAACTGCTCGCTCTGAATTCATGTACAGTTATATTTTTAAGAGTAATAATCCCTTCAAAATAAATTGGCCACTCAACTGTTTGTGGGACACTACTGTGCGCAACTGGCTGCCACATTTCGCCCACAAAATACAGTCACTCCACTTTACAATTTATTCTGTGAAGCCCTTCAAAGACTTCTCAACAATGTGATAAGATGCTATATTAAATGCAAGAATTATTATTATTACAGTTCAGATGCTGAGGTGATGAAGTCCTTTGCTAACAGCTGCTAAAGGTGTCTTCAGTAACCATAAATTCAAGTGACAAACATTCCCTCCAACGCAGACTGAATCGCCTCCCTATTTGCACAGATGCAATAGCACAAATGGCTCCCTTCCAAGTGCAGAAACTTTCTGTTTCCTGAATCCCACAAAAAAATAAACTCAACAAACCAAACTTTCCTTTCACAACAACTTTCAAAGAATCCTATTGCTGTCCCATTTTGTCACAGGTTGTTTGTAACTTAATACAGTGCACAGTGTATTTTTAACCATAGCGCCATGTGGAATGCCTAGTTGTAAATAGCTGCTCTGTATTTTGATGATGTTGGGGCTGTGTATCCATCCATTAATCAAGTGAGCTTTGGTGCAAAGTTTTGTCAAAAAATATTCCTTGCATTTGATATAGCGGCTGTATTTGTCAGCAAACCAATTTGCTTTGACCCAGGTCCCACAAATGGCCCTGAAGAGAATGTCCCATTCTAAAGGGTGTAAAAGGATTGAGTGGTCGAGTTACTCATTAAGTGGAGTCCTGTAGTAGAGTGGTTAGCACACTTGCCTCTCAAGCGAGAGGACCCTGACACCAGGTTGGACTGCTTGCTGCATAAGAGTTTGGTTGCTGTGCAGACAGCAGCTTCTACAATATAATAATAATATTAGCCTCAGAAAAGCGATCCGCCAATCGACTAACAACCGGGTTCCTACTTACTGTTGGGTAAACAGAGGCACGTGTGTGGAGTAAGGAAACTTGCCTAAGATTTCGCCCTGTCCGGGAATCGAATCCAGGTCCTCTCGCTTGCGAGGCGAGTGCTCTAACCACTGAGCTACAGGACTCTCAGTGGCTGAAGGCTCTCCCGCCAATGGTGGGGTGGGTGGGTCGGGGGACGTGGAGCAGCCAGAGCGGGCTGAACGGAGGGAACGGGCGGGTTGGTAGGGGTGGGGGGGGGTTCCACTAGAAAAAAATTCACGCACCCAGGTGTTTACACTGTTAACAACCATGTTGGGATATGAAGGGCAAGTGTTATTTTCATTGCTCATTAAATATTTATGGTATTTGTTGCAATGTTCACCAGCCTTGGGACCTCCCCACCACCAAGTGAGAGGTTCACAGCTCTTAGGCTGCCTTCTCGCTCTCGCTTTTTACACTTCCTCTACTTTATTGCCAGTTCTATGGTCATTTGCTGCCCAGGACATTCCTCCTTTCCTGGAGAGCCAATACATTAATTAAAAAGGACATTTGATAGGTAGAAAGATGTCTGAAGGAACCGATTATCAAATGGTTGAAGGGAGAGTGTGGGATTAGCCAAGGTGGCTCTGGATTCCAATTGCTTGATCAATTACCACTTTGGGGAGGCAATTAAATAAACACTTGAAGAATAAAGATACCATTGGCTATTGGGGAAAAGCCTGAAAATGCGGTCAGAGTGGAAGAAATTAACACCAGCGCTGAGGTGGTAGCTGCTGATTTTGGAGTTAAGATGAACAAGTAAGAGAAGCCACCAGCTAATGCACAGTTTGAGGCCAAATGTCAAAAGACCCTGTTTTAAAGGTACGTTTAACTGTTGCAGTTTTTAAACCATGTTGGGAGGGGGGGAGAGTTTGGTGAATTTATTGGCCACTGATATCATCCTTCTAGTCTGAGTTTTACAATTCAGAGCAAGAGGGATTCAGGGCGACTTCATTGCAAAACTTCAATCTTCCGAGTACTAATTATGTTAATATTATTATTATTATTATTACTAATTATGTTCAGAGTGAAACAAGTTGCTTCAGTAAATCAGTCTCCTGCTAGACCAACCCCAGAGCCATGTGTGCATATAAAGCGATGCCGTGGGAGCTGCCTTATAACCGATGTCACGATACCAGTCATACAGAGGCTGCACAGACACCGTGCGAAAGTGACTGGGGAAGAGATACCTTTGTCCATACGGCTGATTATGTATTTTCTGAATTGCAAATCTAACTTCTAACTAGCAATCGGATGTATCTAACTGACTAGCCCCACATAGAAGGAGCAGCGCCTTTCATCTGTTGATACGCAGCTAAACCCAAGGGCATTTTAACCCACCCCATTTAATAGACGGATAAATGAATGGTAGAATAACCCAGGCTGGGTGTTTCATGCCGAGGATGTTTGGTAACTTTCTCAATTAATGAAAGACAAGATTCTGAGCAGCTGTGAGTAGAAAGTGACTCATCTGCTTCTCTTTCCTCCCCCACCACCACACACTTCCCTGGGGTAATGAAGGGTGGGTAGAGAGCTATCAATGCAAAATATCTCAGTTATAAAGTCATTTCTGGGTAAATAAATGATATTAAAAATCTAGTGCTTGCCATTCTATAAATGACTGAGGGTGTGGCAATGGATTAGCAGCAGGTGGTGGTGTGTTGAGCTGTTATTTATAACTCTGATCCTTAAATCATCTTTTGGACTCCGGCTGTGAAGTTTCAGAAATGCGTCCAATGTTATTCTAAAAGACGCGAATCTATTCTGTGGGTTTCCGGGTTAGAGCAATCAGCGACATTTGAGTGGAGAGAGGAACAATGAGAACCAGACCCCAGTGGAACATTCTTGTCTTTAACAACAACAACAACTACTTGCATTTATATAGCGCCCTTCACGATGGGCGGTGTCTTGTGGAGCTTATTTAACAACACTAACTTTATGAACTTGATTTTATTTCTGGGAAGTCGAAGTTTTTTTNATATATATCTATATATTGCCCTGAGAGGCTGGACTCGTTTCTAGTTTTGAGAATCTCCGCTCGCAGAGGGCTTCGATGATAATAATAATTTGATCACTCGACTCACGACTATTTACAGGACACTGCCGTGCGGAATCGGCTGCTGTGTTTCGCCCACAAAATATACAGTCAATTCGCTTTACAGTGCATTCTGTGAAGCATTTTGAGACGTCTCAATGACATAAGGCACCAATTGAAATACAAGTATTATGATTATTCCCTTGGCTCCCGAAGAAAACCCCGTTTGACGATGAGTCATTAGAAATGTTACTTTGTCTTTTAAAAATAAAACTCCGACCCAGTGACTGGGGAAGGACAGTAATTAATTAGAGAATAATGAAGGGAAAATTTTTTCTGTTTGGACTCTGTGGATATGAGTGTACAGATGTATTGGAATAATATAGGAAATAACCAGCTTTGTTATAATAAGAGAAAAATATATATATGGCAGGAGATACACTTGCAGGACAGACCTCTTGGCATTTTTAAGGAAAATAAATGAGTTATGATGTACACTACTCTTGAATTTTCTGAATAATTAGGCAAGTGATGATATTTTCACACCAATGACTCCCAATTGGAAGTAAAAGCCACGAGTAAACATTGGAATGCGGGCAAGAAACTGGTTTAAATGCTGGTGAGACGTGGAATGTCAGCCTGGAAGGAAACCAGCGGAGCCCAAATCCATTGGTGGAATATTTGGACCCTACAGCTGAGATTTGGCAACATGTTCAACGTTTGCCTCTGTGTACGTCGATCTAATTGACTCCTAATCTCGTTGGTTGCTAATTTTAGGTGCTCCTTGCCCTCCTCTGTTTTATAAAGAGGTTTCCCGGACTCACCTCTCCCCCCCCAGTCCAGTCGTGGATTGAGTGACCAAATTATTGTGGTTTTTTTGTATTAAAGCAATGAAGGGTTTGTTAATCCTGATAGAATCAAGAGACAGATGGATGAATCAGACACCTGTGTATTTTTGCCTTGTCTTAGCTGGGGAGACCCTTTTTAAAACCAATTTATTTCACTCTGTCCTGTAAAACCTCATGTAACTGAACACCATCAGCTGTTGTGCACAAGTATCTGGAACGCCATTGCTGCCCAACAGTAATTTTGTCATTAAACACAACATGCATAGTTTTTTTTAAAATAGCAGAGATAATCACTCTTGCATTTTATACTGCGCCCCATCACGTCTTCGGGACGTCTCAAAGCGCTTCACAGCATATACTGCAAAGTAAACTGACAGTATGTTTTGTGAGCGAAACCGGGCGGCCGATTGTGCACAGCGGTGCCCCACAGACAGTCGGGGATCGAAGTGACCAAATTATTATTAATTAATTTATTTATTTATAAAAAAAAGATTATCCCATGAAAGCGATTTGCCAACGGACTAACAACCGGGTTCCTATTGACCGCTATTTAAACAGAGGCGCGAGGAGTAAGGAAACCTGTACTTGTATTATATATATATATATACATATACACACATACACACAAAACTTTATACAACAACAACAACTTGCACTTATACAGCGGCTCTATGGAGGAGCAGTGTCTGGGAACACTAAACAACATATACAGTGTATATATATGTAGATATATATAGTAAAGTGAATTGACTGTATTTGAACAGTTGTCCAATTGCCTTTGGGATGCAGTCGGTGGTTGAAAAGGCGCAAATAAATCTTTTATTCCCCCCACCACACCCCCTGTCCCCCCAACCCCACCACTGTACCCCCACTTCCCCCCCAACCCCCTGTCCCCCCCAACACCCACCACTGTACCCCCACTTCCCCCCCCACCCCTGTCCCCCCCACCCCCACCACTGTACCCCCACTTCCCCCCCACCACCTGTCCCCCCCCACCACCCCTGTCCCCCCCACCCCTGTACCCCCACTCCCCCCTGTCCCCCCCACCCCTGTACCCCCACTCCCCCCACCCCCCACCCCGTCCCCCCACCCCTGTACCCCCACCCCCTGTCCCCCCACCTCCCACCCCCACCCCGTCCCCCCACCCCTGTACCCCCACCCCTGTACCCCCACTCCCCCCCCTGTACCCCCACCCCCTGTCCCCCACGCTCCCACCCCCACCCGTCCCCCACCCTGTCCCCCCACTCCCCCCTGCCCCCCCCCCGTCCCCCCCCGTCCCCCCCCCCCAACTCTTTACCTCTGGTTAGACCGTCCGCCCCGCAGCCTCCGCTGTCCGGACCGGACGCTCGGACGAGCGCCGTCTCTGTGCAGAGTCTCCACAGCCCGAAGTGCGCCCGTTCGCATGTGCCGTTGTGTTGGGCGACGCTCGGGCTGAGCACTGCCCAGTGATCGGTGCTCACGGCCACCAACAGCAGCACAACCCCCACCGCCACCACCGAGAAGGTCGCCCTCACCTTCCCCGCTTTGCCGTCTCCGCTCATCGTTACCGGCGCCGACAGTCCGGGGCTGCGGCTGTGATTTTGTTGGGGGAGGGGGTGGGGGGGGGGGGGGGGGGGGGGGGGGGGGGGGAGGGGGGGGGTGGGGGCTGCTCCTTCCTTGTGCTCACACCCCCCCACACACACCCCACACCCCACCCACCGCCCACCGCCTCCTCCTCCCGATCCGATCCGATCCGCGTCAGGAACGGGATCAGGTTTGACTGTCGTTGTGACAGAGCGGTGAAGTTCACATCTGTTTCACTCACTCACTCCCCCACTCACTCACTCACTCACCCACTCACTCACTCACTTACCACTCACTCACTCACCCACTCACTCACTCACTCCCCACTCACTCGCCCACTCACTTACCCACTCACTCCCCCACTCACTCACTCCCCCACTCACTCACTCCCCCACTCACTCACCCACTCACCCACTCACTTACCCACTCACTCATTCACTCACCAACTCACTCAATCCCACTCACCCACTCACTCACCCACTCACTCACTCACTCACCCACCCACCCACTCACTCACTCCCTCACTCCCCCACTCACTCCCCCACTCACTCACCCACTCACCCACTCACTTACCCACGCACTCACTCACTCACCAACTCACTCAATCCCACTCACCCACTCACTCACTCACTCACTCACTCACTCACTCACTCCCCCACCCACCCACCCACCCACCCACTCACTCACCCACTCACTCACTCACCCACCCACCCACCCACCACTCACTCACTCACTCACTCCCCCACCACTCACCCCACTCACTCACTCCCACCCACCCACCCACTCACTCACTCACTCCACCCACTCACCCACTCACTCACCCACTCACTCACCCACTCCCCCACCCACTCACTCCCCACCCACCCACTCCCTCACCCACTCACCCACTCACTCACTCCCCCCCCCACCCACTCCCCACCCACTCAATCCCACCCACTCACTCACTCACTCAATCCCACCCACTCACTCACCAACTCATTCATTCACTCACTGCCACAGACAAAGACAATCCAATCTGATTGATTGATGTCCCCTCTATTTTGAGTTTTATTTTTACACTTTTTTTTAAGGGGGGAGGGGGAGGGGGGGAGATTAACAAGAAAACCTGTGTGTGTGTGTGTGAGTGTGTGTGGGGGGGGGGGACAGTGTGGAGATTTTAGCTAAAATAGGCTTGAGTGGTGGGACCCACACATTGACCTTCACATCACTTTCAGACCAAAAGAATCTGTGCTCACAGCGAATTCCATTCTGTTAACATGGGGTCGGTTTGGTTTCCCCTGAACGAAGGAAACGCTTCAGAAGCCAAGTCTTTATGTCGAAAATGTGACTTTTTTTTTAAAGAAAAAAGTTATTAATTTCACACCGACAGCTTGCTCTCGACTCGGACCCAAACGGGGATACAGTTTATAAGTTTTTCTTAAACTGTCTTGAATTTTACAGGTACTTTTTGAGCTCCAGAATCCTTACTGTGTGCGTTTGTGTTTTGCAAATTCCTCCTTTTTTTGTGGACTGTAAAATGTCAGGATTTTATGATCTTAATTGCCCAAGTTCAACTGAATGTGGGATTGGAGTTGAGCTGTACAGTTGAGGCGCAATCAACAGCGGCAACAAATTATGTTTACACAGCGCCTTTCATGTCCGGAGTGTGTCCCAAGGCTCTGGACAGTCAAGGGTTTGCACCTGAGCTGCGGGTTGGAGTCGAGAGGGGTGGAGGTTCAGGGAGGGTGGGGTGGGAGGGAGGATCAGCGAGAGTGCGGTCGAGAAGACGGGCCTTGAAGGGGCTAAGAGAGGGGGTGAGGAGGAGGGACCCCAGGATGGAGTTTCGGAGGGTGGGGTCAGGAAGGCTGATGGCAGGCAGGGAATCAATGGCTGTGGAGCCTAAACTTCACTACGCTGAGAAAAGGCTTTAAATTGGTAGGTTGCAGGCATTCTGTTACGTGATTATCCAACTTCGGGCCAACGCAGTTTGACATCATTTGTTAGTGGGATACGGTAAACGTGTGGTCATACTAAGCCCCTCGGTGGGAGCTTTACTAGTTTGTCATTGTCCAATTATGAAGACTTTCCAGTCTGTGGATTAGGCTACAGAGCAGAAGGGAGAGAGGAAAACCTCTCCTCTGAGCCTGAAGACAAAGTTGAAAACTATGAGTTTTTTTTAAGAAATGTGAATATAGAGGCGTCATGTTGTGCACATCTCTGTATCGGTGCTCGCATGAATGAGCAGACTGGACCCTAGGCATATATTGTCTGTTGCCATCTCTCATCTAGCCCCATGAGTAAAGACCACTCTGCCCTCTTTCCCCCCCACCCCTTCCCCAGTCACGACTCTTCTCACTGCTGGGGGGGAGGGGGGGAGGCAGAGTGTGCTCTGTGACTCATTAGTGATGGTTAACATCCTACATATTAATCTGTCAAGATCCTGGTTCTGTTAAGGGAAGCTTTCAGCTGGGATACTTTTAATAAAAATTGGTCACACACTCCATGTCTGCTTTTGTAGGACGCTGCTGTGCGCAATTCGCTGCCGTGTTTCGCCCACAAAATACACAGTCACTACGTTTTACAGTATATCCTGTGAAGCGCATTGAGACATTTTGACGACGTGATAAGGCGCTATATCAAATGCCAGGATTATTATTATTACTTAATAGCGTCTTTTCATGTCAATGACTGAGTGTTTCACAGGTAAATTTTGGGTGGGTTTAGTGACCTTTTTTCTTAAAAAAAAAGACCAGCAAACGATAGCAGCGGAGACCACCCCACACTGCAGAGCATTGCAGGAATTCATGGTAACAAGAAATGAATAGCAAACGCATCAAGCTTGCCTATACTTCACTTCACATAGGGGGGGGGGAAGGGGGAGATAAACAGTCAGTGAAGGAACTACAGTAAACTCCTGATAGCTCATCACTCCGAGGGAAAAGGGCTCAGTGACTAGTTATCCAGAGTGGCAAATTAGCCATACGTAAATAAATATTCTGCGAAGCGCTTTGAGATGTCTCAACGACATAAGGCGCTGTATCAAATGCAAGGATTATTACTATGATTAAATGCAGCCAGGATATTGACAGCATGATGACTTAAGTGGTAGTGACAAGTTAAGCTGGGGTCGAGTTATCAAGAGTTTACTACTGAATACAGTACAGCCAATGCATCCCCTCCTTTCATTCCACCTTCACACAACAGTAGATGCTCACTGCTATACATGTATTACTTTATTGCCACAAATACTTTACAGTAATCCAGCGATACCCATGTACAGACAATGCCATAATCTCAGAGTGAAAGATCCTCTATCTTTCTCTCGCTCTCTCGCGCTCTCTAATCTCAGTTGTTAAAAAAAAATACTTACACAATATCAGGGGATTTTTTTTTTGAAATATTGTTGCCACACGATATGTACAGCTCTAAACTCTTTAAACATCATCTTTACAGTGAAACACGCTTCTGCCTAACTCGGTGAAAAAAATACAATAGAGACGGGAGAAATCTGCATTCATTTAAACAAACACGTTCACAGCAAGATAGCAAAGCACCGCGTAACCATTCACAAGGAGGTGAAAGGAGCCTGCCCTGTAAATATCATTTGACACCTAGAACATTTCCTTAAAATAATCTTTTTCTTCCAAGGTTCAAATAAAAAATAAAATTAAACTAAATCGACTACTTTTTTTTTATAAACGTGTGATTGCAAACGGTTTTTCTTTGTTTTAAACGCTCAAAAGTTGGTTGGGAAAGTTCTTCCAAAAAAAAAAAAACACAACGCAGAGACTTTATAGGAACATCTGGGGGCATTGAGTGAGAGATTCTGTGCCTGACAACCTGATAGGAGTCAGACTTAAACAGCCCAGCAATCTTGCCCATGTAGCCTCCATGACACTGACCATCACCTAAAAGTGGAGAAGGAACTACAACAATAACTTGCGCTTATATAGCGCCCTTCATGCAGGGCAGCATCTCGGAGCGCTTAACGGTGGCGGAGACTAACGCCGAGCTGAGGGAGGAGGTGACCGTAAGCACGAACGAAGAGAAAGGTCTTCAGTTGTGATCTAAAAGAGGGGAAGGAGGAAGCAAGGTGGAGGGGTTGGGGGAGAGAGTTCCAGAACTTCGGGGTGTAGTGGCGGTAAGCGAAAGTGGCTGGAACCACCAGGGTAGTGGATGAATCTGCACTTCACTGAGAGTTTAAACGTGTTTTGAAAAGTATCAAAGGAAAGAAAAATAAACAGACTATTTAGACTAAAATTTGTATCTAGGTAACTTTAGTATCTATGTTAAATGCGACATAAGACAACGTTTATTGAATGTTACAAAACTGTTCTCAATATTAAACTTGTTTTATGACTATCTGAACACAATTGGACCCATTAGACTTCCAACAGAAGATTGGAGTTTCTTTTCCTTCCCCTCCTCCCTCGGACTTATTTATTTGGTTGAAACTTTTTGGGACTGTGAGCTGTTCTCTATCCATCCCGATCCCATCTCCTCTTTGACTTCATTATGGAACTCGCCAATGTTCATTACCTGGTGGTTTCCAGGGATCCACAAGGAAAGAGGAACAATGTGGTGTGTGTGTATGTGTGTGGGGGTGTATGTGTGGGGTGGGGGTGGGGGTAAGAGAGGAGAAACTGGCCCTTTTATTGGTGGACTAGTGACTTGTCAAACCTCTTGTCTCTCCATCACCAAAGTAGAAGGGAGTTAAGTTGGTCCTTGAGGGTTTTTTCCCCCCACTCAAGCAGCGTCAGACTGGGGTTGTCCGTCGGTTGACTATGTTCATATTGAGCCCTTCTTTGAGTTCCTTCTGGAAGCAGTTATGGACTTGCAGGAAGCTCTCCTCTGGATCCAGATGGTAGCTGGCAGCAATGGGTGGCTTGGAGGTGTCTCTGGTCAAGGTGTACATGGAGATTTCGGTGATAGGCACCGTGCTGCTCACCACCTTCATGTTGGGAGTGGAGATATCCCGAGCCGGGGATGGCTCCTCAGATCTCGAGCTGGAGCGAGACCGTCTCCGCTGCCTGTATCTGTAGGTGGACATCCTGGCGTAGGGCGAGGAGGAGGTCTTTAAATACTCCCTGTGCGTTTTGGTTCTCACCTCCTTGTTTTTGTCGATATAAATGCTCACAGCGAGCACGCCGGTCATTTCGGCCACGATAAAGGACAACGCCCCAAAGTAAAAAGACCATCCGTAAGAATACATGCTCTTCTTGTCGTCGTCCTTATCCCAGGGATTGCCCATGTTGCTCGATATATACACGATTATTCCAATGATGTTGCTCAGTCCTGGGAGCAAAAGAAATTCAGAAACCAGGTCAAATCAGAGCTGTCCCAAAACCTGTTCCCAAAGTGAGATATTGAGACCGTTATTTGATCTGGAATTCCCAGCCTCGTATTGACGTACACGGAAATGGTCTGAACATTTACTGCCAGCTAAGGCTCCTCGTGAGCCTCTCACCCAATGAATGATAAAATGGGAACTAGGAGTGCTGCAATGTAGTGGTTAACGCGTTTGCCTCGACAACGAGAGGACCCGGGTTCGATTCCCAGCCGGGGCAAAACCTTAGACAAGTTTCCTTACTCCACACACGCGCTTCTGTTTACCCAGCAGTAAGTAGGAACCCGGTTGTCTGTGTTGAGTAATAATAATAATAGTTTCATTTGATATGGTGCTTTTCGTATCTCGCAGGATTTGCCATCAAGTGTAGTAAGTGTATTATTATAGGCGAAGGTAAAAGTTCTTTTTGCGTTGAGTGCCAGGTGTGTGCGGTCTGCATGTTGTTGGTGTGTTCTTTGCGTGTTGACTTTTTCTGGGGTGTCGGGGGTGGGGTGGGGGGAGGACGAGGAGAGGGGAGGGGGCTAGTGCTTACCTGCCGCTACAAAGAGAATGCCAGCGCTCAGCATGATGTTGGTTTTGCTGCTGTACAATCTGCCTGCTCCAACACACAGGGCTGCCAACAGCAGCAGGATGGCACTCAGGATAGGGAATAAGCTGGACGCACGAACTATACCTAAACACGGAGAGGATCTGTGACACTTTACCACCACATCCCGTCTTTGCCACAGTGAAAGCTTCATGATAAACATTGTAACCGTCGAATGGCTATCATTAGATGGCACTGATCTAGATTCGTAGGAACAGGAGGAGGCCATTCAGCCCCTCGAGCCTTTGCCAGCTCTCTGAAACAGCTGTCCAACTAGTCCCACTCCCCAGCACTTTTCCCCGTAAAATGACATTTCTAACAGTGTAACATTACATCACTGAAATACTCACGTAAAAGGTACTCAGATCCTTCCTGGTCGTAATCGTCATCATCAGGAAAATAATTAATTCGGAAACAGTTTCCTTTCTGAAGGCCTGAAACGATGGAAATTAGCAGGTGACGGCCCCATAAAAAGGAATAATAATAATAATAATCCTTGCATTTGATACAGCACCTTTCACGTCCTCTAGACGTTTCAAAGCGCTTCACAGAATTCACTGTAAAGTGAATTCACTGTATACTTTGTGGGTGGAATGCGGGATTAACACTATCATTTTAGAGGATAAAATGTGAAATATCCTTATACTTTACTGCCTCCTCAGTTCTTAACACTGTCCCATTTGTGAGATGAATGAATCGCAACCTTGACCTATCTTTTGGTTGCGCTATCAGCTTTTTACTTGAAAACTTCCGAAAGTAAGTGGTTATAATCCTCCCAAGTCTTTCTCTCTCTGCTCCTCCCCCCACTTCCCCCCCCGGCCCCCAATCGGTTTCTAACTAGCATTTATTTAACTTACTGGTTTTACAGAGTAGAACAAATAGCTTGTTGTAAATTGGGTGCAATTCTCTTGTGTCCCATAGTGGGATATGACATAAATAACTAGTGTTACATGTACTTTCTTGTTAAAAAAAATACTTTTATTCCTGCCCTCCGCCCCACACCAACATCAGGTATAAATGAGTATAGTAATTGGGCGATTAAGGTTTGAGAATAGACAATGGATTGAATTCCAGGTTCTTTACCTTTGATAGAGGGAGAGCTTCTTAACAGCTGTGGGCTTCAGTATTTATCAACAATAGTCCTCGCAACTGATCCTGCACCAAGAATTTCTAAACATCTCCAATCGCTTCACACAGAATAGCCGTCATGTCTAGCGACTGTGTTTCTAACCTAATGTGCACTGTTAAGGTTCCACAAAACAGCCGTGATGTGAATGACCAATTTACAACAACAATAAAATTACATTTACACAGCGCCTTTCACGTCGGGAAGGAAATCTCAAGAATCTGGACAGTTAAGGGTTTGCACCGAACTGGGGGTTGGAACCAAAAAGGTTGGGTTGGAGGGGGTAGAAAGAGAGAGTGGGGGTGAGAATAGGGCTGAAAGCACAGCCAAAGAGGAGGAATGCGAGCTAGAATTATTCTCTTTTTTTAAAATACTATCGTATGGATCTTTAACAACCACCTGAACAAGGCCCTTGTTCCAATGTGTAATACCTCACATTTGGCTCCAGTAATAAGATCCATGCCCCTCCAATAGCTACTTAATTGGCCCCAATCTTCACTGCTATCGTTCTCTCATTCACTTGTCTCGCTTATTATGAACAAATTGCACAGTATTATACAAAACAAAAATCTGGTGTTCAGAGAGTCCTCTTGTACTTTTTGACCCTTAAATTGTTTAATTTCGGTTTGGTTTGTAAAGAGGGTGGACACTAAATTAATCTGAAAAAAAAATCACTGGTCTGTAAACTAACACACTCGCAAATCATTGCGCCAGACCCACTTGTGCTCTCGGCTTTAGCTGCAAGTCAGTGCCAAATCTGTAGGAAGAAACTCGCATAAGGAGTTGATGCCCAAATCCCCAAGTGGGAGTCTGGAAAATCAATTGGCCAGCGTTTACCTCTGACTGCTTCCTCTGCCCTCCTGTGGCAGCCTGGCTGCTCAGCAGGTTTCCCTACCTCCTCTGCCACCGCACAGCGGAATAAATCGCAAGCAAACATTTTCTTTTTAAACATACAGAGACAAGGCGGTGCTTTGGTTAACCTTGAATCTTGATCCGATCGCTTTTAAAAGGGAATACTGTATTGTTGAATAATAACCCTTGCATTTGATGTAGCGCCTTATCAAGTCGTTGAGACGCCTCAAAGAGCTTCACGGGATTACACCATGAAGTGAATTGACTGTATTTTGTGGGCGAAACGCGGCAGCCAATTGCGTACAGCAGGAATTAGACAAACGTTTTGGGAAAATAACCGATGCATTAAATAAAAGGGAAGAAGGGACAGAATGAGATCAGGGTGTCAGAAAACCAGCACAGACCCTATTAAACCTGATGGCCTCCCATACCGTGGATGCAAATGATTTATTCTATGTTATTAAAACGGGGATGTTTTTGAGGAAGGAATTTGTTCATCCCTGGCATTCGTGTTGCAAAACAGTCAGCGCACACACCACCTGCTGTGCTTCTGTCAACACTGAACTCCACTAATACTGGGTTGTCATCCCAACGCCATTCAGAATTCACACAGATTGACGGCTCAGATCTGTTGCTTGTTAAAAAAAATATATATTTTTTAGCAGAGGCCCTGATTCCGAGCAAGTGCCTGTTGCTTGATCTGTTTTCAGGCATATTCTAATCTCAGCACAGATTGAGGGGACTGGCAACCTATTCCTACAGCAAGTTCCTGTGCACCATTCCTGCTTGGGTACCCAGCAAATGTCAGCCAATGCCTATAAGAGGAAGCCCTTTATAAAAAATGAACTGTCACCTCGCTTTTGCTCATGATTCCGCTTGGATAAAGGCACCACCACCTGGTTTGCGTATTAGGACTGTGTATTAGGACTATATTCGCCTAATACACAGTCACTACATCCTACAGACAACCTGAATCTCTGAGATTTTTTTTGACCTGATGAGGTGCTGCTATTACAGTATTAAATGGAAAGGTTATCATCATGTGAGCAAATGTGAACCATAAGGTTACAGGTTGGCATCTTGTTGAGGTAACCAGGGAAGTGCTAAGAGGGGGATTGAACCGGCTCCTGGGTTGAGTCTGTGAAGTTTCTCAGCTTCTGATTGACACCCAGAGACCATTGCTGGGAGGTGCCCATTGAGCGAGGCTAGAATCGGGCTCGGCTGTTGTGGACCCTAGAGTTGACCCTGAAGCCCGACACTCACACATGGACCATCGCCACTTGGGCCAGTCACTGAAGGGCGATCAACACACAAAGAACTAATAATAATAATCCTTGCATTTGATACAACGCCTTATGTGTTTGAGACGTCTCAAAGCACATCACAGAATGTACTGTAAAGCGAATTGACTGCATATTGTGTGGGCAAAACGCGGCAGCCAATTGGGCACAGCAGCGTCCCACAAACAGTCGGGGATTGAGTACCCTGGAGAATCCAAAAAGGAAAGGCCTTGTGGAAGGGAGGGGAGAAATTTGGAAGAGAAACTAATGGGACCAGTCAGATTAATAGAGCCCTTTCATTCCCTCTGGATGCTTCCCAGTGTCTAATTGCGCTCCCTCGCTGGACCCCGAGAGAGGAGAGAGAGACAGCACTCAATGCTATCGTTGGCATGGTGCCATCATGGCTGGGGAAGGCTGAATAAAGCTGAGAGACACCTGGTGCACGAGGTCTGCCAGGCCCACTTTAGAGGCGCTCGGCTTCAGTAGGAACGCAGTGGAGTGAGAAAAGCATGAATGAAAACTCTGCATTGTCTATTCCTGCCGTACGGTGGATAATGTACTTCACAATTGTTCATTGGTTCCATTCACCAACTCTTCTGTGCCAGCACATAACTGGCACCTGCAAGAAGTGCAACACACTAGTCAGTGCCCATCTCAGCTGCCCAATTGGGTCGATACTGAGATGCCTCTCTTTTGGGGTGGAGGGGGCAAGCCAGGGGTTAAGGTCACCCTCACTAAAAATTGCTAGTGGCTAACTTATTTACCCACCCGCCTGTGAAACTGTAGGGTGACTTTATCTCATTAAAACCTCTTTGTAACTGAGAAGGGTGCATTCTCTGCGCATTTATCATTCTGTGATATTTCATTTCTAATTGCCCAGTGGCTTAGATTCTGGCAATTAAAACCAGCCAGTGAGGCACAGGAGGGCTCATTCTGTATGTGTGTGTGTGTGTCTCACCAGTGATTGCATTAAGAATGGACACACTCCTCACTCACATCACCTGCCCCCAGCCCAGCTCAGCCTCGATCACTTGTGTGCATGCAGTGGTGGGTGGGTGGTTGGGGGCAAGAAAATCAGGATGAAACTTCTCATCCCTGTAAACGGAAATCACCTTCACCATTCGTGGCAAGTGCTTGGATTAAAAATCCCATCTTCTCTTCGCAAAGGCAAACTTGGTCTTACATAAAGGCATTGGAGCCATCTCCAGTGCGGGGAGAGGCGAGGTCTGACCTGTCCTATTGTATTCAGCAGCAGTGATGTGCCTTTCAGCCCAGACACACGAGCTGTCGTCAAGAATAAGACAGGAATGTGCTCACCGAGTCTATGTGCTAAGATTAGCTGATTGAATTAGACGGCAGAAGATGTGCAGCGAAGCGGAGACTGTGCGTGCGTGTGTGTCTGTGTGTGCGCGTGCCTCTCCTCAAAGCCACGGTCTCCACTTAAGGGGCTCGAGTCGAGCAAGTAAATGAGATTAACGACGGAGAAGAAAGCCAATATTTCATTGCCAGACTGTCTCTTCTCATCTCCTCTCCACCCCCACCTGCCTTGAATGTCAACCACTTCCCACTGACTCACGACCCAGCAGTTAGCCACTGCCGTTCAACAATAACAAGCCTCGCATTTGATATATAGCACCTTATCATGTTGACAAGACGTCTCGAAGGGCTTCACAGGTTATACTGTGAAGTGTAGTGACTGCATTTTGTCAAAAAAAAACCCTTGCTGTGTTTTTTTTTGAATGAAAGGCAACTTTCACTCCCTGGAAAGCCAGTGATGGGGCTGAGATGAATTTATTAACAGGATGGATGGATAGCTTTGCTGTATCGATGTTAAGTTTGGACCAGGGGCAGAGGAGGGGGAGGAAGAGGTGGGGGAGAGGAATAGTGGGGGAAATCCAGCTTTGGCACCTTTTGTGCCTTTTTCTTCCTCGAAGAAAAAAAAGATAGTGTGTCTGTGTTGCATTAAATGGGTCCAATTCCTTTGAAAGCCAAACGTTAAACCAAACCCATCCGCGATCTCTCCATCCCAAAGCCAGTCACGAACTGCTCAAGTTAACGTGTGGCTATTTTTATTGATTTAGGGTTTTTTTTTTGTGGAGGGGGGGGAAGGGGGTGAAGAGGATAAATACCCTTCTCCCTCCCATCTCCCTATCCCACATTCCCAGCATGGCGTGCTTTTCCCAAACACCTGGAAACGCAAAAAACACGCAAAAATCCTACATTTTTTGCCCCCCATCCACTCCTGCATTTTTGCAAACGCTCGATTTCCGCTCCAAAAAAAAAAAAAGGGGGGAAATGAAAGAATCTATTGCTTCGGCAGCAAAAAAAATATATTATAATAATAATAATGTTCCTTTATATAGAGAGAGAGGGAGAGAGAGAGAGAGAGAGACGCCACTTGCACTCAATTAGGGAGGGAGTGAATCAATTTCTGGGGCAGAATAAATTAATATAATAGTAATATTTCTTTTGAGAGAGAGAGAAAACGCCAGTTGCACTCAAATGGGGGGAGGGGGGGGGGGATAAGAGGGGGTGAGGGGAGGAATGAGAGGGGGAGTGGGGGGGGGGAAGAGAATCAATCAATTTCAAGGGCAGCAAAAAAAAATCATAGCCCTAATAATATTTCTTTTGAGAAAGACAAAAAAAAAGAAAGAAAGAGGGAGAGACAGAGAAAGAAAGAAAGAAAGAAAGAAAGGAAGGAAGGAAGAAAGAACGAAAGAAAGAAAGAAAGAAAGAAAGAAACGCCAGTTGCACTCAAAAGGGGATGAGTGAGTGTGGAGTGAGTGAGTGAGTGAGTGTCTGTCTGTGTGTTGTGCGTTCGTGTGGAAATGAATCCGTTTCTGGGGGCAGAGGGAGAGAAAAAAATAATAGGGGATAATAATAATAATAATAATAAAGATTTTTGGGGATGGGGATGGGGATGGGGTGGAGGGGAGGGGGGAATGAGTGAGGGAGAGAGGGAGGGAGGGAGGGGAGGGGAGGGAGGGAGAGAGGGAGGGGAGTGAGGGAGAGCCCAACCCCAACCCCACCAGCCCAGGCACCAGAGCCCACCTCACCTTCCACACAGCAGATCCTCCAAAGCCCCGAGTGGATCAGGGCGGCTCTCTCCTTCTTCACTTGACTGTCGTCTGCGGTGGCGTTGGTGCCGTTGCAGATGTGAGCCCGGGAGTACAGCCAGTAATCGGTGCCGATGGCCACGGTCATCAGACTGAAGGCTGCGAACGAGCCCATCATCGTGAAGAGCATCTGGACGCCGGGGTCGCACCAGACCATGTTGTCTCATAGTCCTGCCCCAGCACCGCGCGGGTTCAGCGGCGACCACCACCACCACCGCCACCACCGCCACCGCCGCCCGCACAACCGCAGCCCCGCACAACCGCAACCGCAGCCGCCAGCGGCGGGGCGAGGGCTCCTGGGCTGGTGCTAGCGGGCCGGCAACCTCCGCCACCGCACATCCCCGCTCCCCATCGGCGATGCTCTGTCGTTCCTTCTTCCTCTCGCTCTGTTGCTCGTTTATCCGCTCTGTTGCCCTCTCCTCTCCTCTCCCCCTCCCCTCTCCTTTTCTTTTCCCCACTTGCACCCCACCTCCTCCCCCCTTCTCTCTCTCTCTCTCTCTCTTCCCCCTCCAAAAAAAACACTGGGAAGGGGTTGAGGGGGTTTGGTTGTTGTTGTGGTTGGTGGTGGTGGTTGTTGGGTTAAACAGTCGATCCAATTCCTGGTCTGTTTTCCATTCCAAACACTCACTCCCTCTCTATTTTCCTCCCTTCGTTCTTTCTCTCTCTCTCTCTTTCTCTCTCTCTCTCTCTCTCTCTCCCCCCCACCCCCCCCAAAAAAAAAAAGACACGACTTTTTTTGTAAAAGAATGAAACGAAAATAATTCACCCCCCAAAATAAAAGCTGTGGCTTAGGAAACTTTTTAATCAATCCAATCAATCAATCAATCAATCAATCAATGGATGGATGGATCAATCAATAATCTCCAGCCCAGCAGTAGTTTGATCTATTTTTTTTTCATTTGAGTTGTGTTTCCTTCCCCCTCTCCCCCTCTCCAGCCTCTGTCCCTGGTGCTGCAAACATACACAACCTCCCGCCGATAAATGGGGGAATAAACAAGAAAAGCTTTTAATGAGAATTCAGGAGCCGCGTCAATGCTACTCCCTCCTCCCCCTCCTTTACTCGCTTGTCACTGGCTCTGTGTTACGTGACCTGGTTCCTCCAATCTCCCTCCCTCCCTCCCTCCCTCCCTCCTTTTCCCTCCCTCCCTCCCTCCTTCCCTTCCTTCCCTGGGCTAAGACCTCATTGAGATGCTCTCCGCCAGCTCCACAACCCGACAGAGACCGAGAGAGCAGACAGACAGCTCGATCCGGATCAACAGGCGAGGAAAGGGGGACTTAACGCCTGTCCTGGTTTGTGAGTAGGAACCCGGTTGGGTTGTTGGTCCATTGGCAGGACGGCTTTCCCCGGGGAAGGGGTTGGGGGGGGGGAATAATCCCTCTCGGCGCAAGAGAAATGCGGTCCCTCTGTCTGCGGGATGCTGCCGTCCGCAATTGGCTGCCGGGTTTCGCCCGCAAAATACGCAGTCAATCCGCTTTTGCAACCACGGTATATTCTGCGAAGGGCTGTGAGACGTCTCAACGACGGGATAAGGCGCTGCGTCAAAGACGGGGATTATTGTTATTGTTATCGGGGACGTTGCTCGGTGACCTCCGTCTGTCTATTAGAATAATAATAATAATAATTAATAATAATGCATCCATTTGACATCGGGCCCTTATCACATGGTTGAGACGTCTCAAAGCGCTTCACGGAATATACTGTAAAGTGGAGGGACTGTGCGTTTTTGGGGGTGAAACATGGTGTCCAGTTGTGCACAGCAGTGTCCCACAAGCAGTCGTGGATTGAGTGACCACATCTTTTTTTGAGGGATTATTACCCCCGCAAAGCGATCTGCCAATCGATTTAGCAACTGGGTTCCTACTTACTACTCGGTAAACAGAGGCGTGTGATGAAAGGAAATTGCTGAAGGTTCTGCCTCGCCCTGGAATCAACCTGATACAGACTGTTCCCCCACCCCCACCCCAGCTCAGCCTCAAACCCACTATAAGGTGTTTAAGCAGAATTAAGATTGACTTTCATTGCCTCCCAACTAATAGCTACACCCCACCAGCAATGCAAAAGAAGTTGAAGTTATTCCCTGTTCAGTTGTTGACCCCCTTCCCTCTCTCCCTCCCTCTCAGACGGATGCGACAATGAGTTTTGGGTGAGACACTTGTGGACGTGGGTGTATATATGGGTGAGATGCATACAGTATATGGTGTATGTTTGTAAACAAGTACAAAGAGGTTTGTTCAAACACTCTCCTCCTTGGAGAACTTCACGCGGAGACTGTCGGTATGACACAAATGGAACCAATTAGTCACACACTTATATGTGTTTGAGAGAAAGAAGAGTTCCTTTTCTGGCCTGTACTCTATTGGGGGAGATGGTTTGGCAGCTCAAAGCGTGAAACGAAACGTGACCAGAAGCACATTTGCTTTGTGTGTCCGGATGTTGCCGACAAGTGGAGGGGGCAGAACTGGTGGTCAATGGGGGTTATTGATTCAGTCGGCAGGAACTGGCTGTTATTTGTTGGCCTGACTCAAGGCTGGCAATGGTTGCTGGTGCCTGGCTCTGAGCTGCCTTTCAATAGGCCATGTTTGACAATTCTCTCACGTGTAAGTCGCTCATCACTGCTTTCAAGTCTTTTAATAACTAGGCCGGTTCTCTTTTTGATGGGCGGGGTGGGGGGGGGGAGAAGGGGGAAGAAATGGAGAGCTTATTTTAAGAGTAAATTGGTTAGCGAATCAGTTAGAATGAGGAGTTTCAAGGTGTTGCTCACTCACTCACTCACTCACTCGCTTCCTTTATCACATCGTTGAGAATTGTTCACAGAATATACTGTAAAGTGGATTGACTGTATTTTGTGGACGAAACGTGGCAGCAGTGTCCCACAAACAGTCGTGGATTGAGTGTCCAAACTATTGGGGGGTTTTTAAGGGATTATTACCCCCAGAAAGTGATCACCCTATCGACTAGGTTCCTACTTACTGCTAGGTAAACAGAGGCATGTGGAGTAAAGAAACTTGTCTAAGGTTTTGCCCCGCCTGGGAATTGAACCCAACTCCTCTCGTTTGCGAGGCGAACGTGTTTACCATTACGCTACAGGATGAGATATTTGTACATCATAGGATCTACATCAAAAGTAAAGATTATTTTCTTTATTTAAAATCAAGGGTTTCTGAGATATCTGATGATTATAATCTCCATCATTAGCACATTCATAATAAGCAACAGCAGCACATTATCCTTAATATGTTGCTTTTTTTTAACTTTAAATTTTTAATTAAAATGGATTAATGTTTTCCTGTGCGTCGGATAATTAGTTTTTTTTTCAACTCGACTGGACTCATTTAAAAGAATAACTTTGAAAGCATTTCTCACTCAGGAATGTGCTGATGTGTGTTATAATAATAAATAATCCTTAATAATAAGACAATTGCACAAAGCAGGGTCCAGCAAACGGTCACGGCCAAACTATTATTATTGTTTTTGGCGGGAAACAAATGGCTTGTAGGAACTTCAAAGATCTCGCGATTTTCACTGAGTCGACATTTAATGTTCACCAATACGATCCACACATTTTTATTTATTCAAGAAAAGAAATTCTATCTGGGTCAAGCATGCATTATTCAAAATTCACATCCTGAGAGAAAACACAAAGAATAAAGCCTGACTTTAATAAAATGATTTCACTGTAAACTGTGATCTCTTCCTTGACTTGCCAATATCCACAAGTTGCTGTAGCGTGAGAATCGGTTTCAATTGTTTCTCCTGGTGTCCTGGCCAACAATCTCCTGCCCCCCACCCCCCCTCCACCCCAATATAATTTGGTCACTCACTCCACGACTGTTTGTGGGACGCTGCTGTGTGCCACGTGCGCCCACAAAATACACAGTCAATCCACTTTACAGTATATTCTGTGAATTGCTTTGAGGTGTCTCAACGATGTGATAAAGTGCTATATCAAATGCAAGGATTATTATTATTAAATGTCTCTGACTGCTCATCAACCTTGCTGAGCTGAATTTCTAAATAACACTGAGATGCCGTGTGGATTGCAGAGTGGAATGATATGCATAGCTGACACTTGAAATAAACCATACACAAAAGAATTCTTCCTTTTCTCCCTCAGCATGCGTGTGTGTGTGTGCGTGTGTGTTTGCACACACACACCAGACAGAGGGACAGACACATGCAGACAGATACACACATACACTGCACACACCACCACACGCAGACAGATACAGACCGACAAGCATGCACAAAGGCATGCTTGGAGACCCAGACCGAACTGACCACAATTGAGCTATTTCAAGTCTGTGCTACAGGCATGTATGTTGCAAAGGTCAGAGTGGCTGATGCAAATGCTCTGCTCATACAGAGCAAATGTCAGCAGATTCAATAGGAAATATTGTTTTCAGAAATGCAGGAGTTTGGCATATGGAGGTATGAAGATGCATTTCAACTTCATTTCCTACGGTTTTCCTTTATTCTTTACTCAGAGAGAGTGGGTGCAGAGGTGTTGCCCTGGTTATTTAATGCCAGACACCAAGAAGCAGCACAGATTTCTGACTCTTCCTCTTCCCTCCCCCACCCCCCCACCCCCCCACCCCCATCTCTCCGAGTTTTCTCCACCCACCACCAGCTTCTACAGTATCCTGTCATCACTCAGATCTGGGTTTGACCACAATGGTATCTCTAGGCTTGGAAGAGTATTAGCACTAGGGCAGAATCCAAATGACTGCATTTACAAACTTTTTGGTGTTGGGTTTGCCTAAAGCTCTCTGCTGTCAACATGTGTCCATGCCTTTGCCTAGTCCTCTGACGCTGAGCTAACCAACTAGCCTTCCTGCAACCCTCCAGTTTTCTTTCACTGAACCTTGACGTATTTGCAGTTCCTTGTAACTGAGTCGCAAGTGAGAACAGTGGGATTGGCTTGGCTTTTTCTATTGATCGGATGATCAGAAGAGACCGGTGATGAGGGTCTGTATGACGTTGACCTCTGAAATCTTCAATTCTGGAATGGGAAGCTCACCCCCCTCGCCTCTATTGATGTAAATAATATGTAATATATGCAAGTACCCTTTCAGATGATTGTTATACCAACTGTTTGTGGGCGAAGGATGGCAAGTTGCAAAGCACCTAGAGCTGGTGAGAAGCATATGTGGACCATTTCATGATCTCACAGAGCAGTGGTGGCTAAGTGTTAGCTTCACTGTTTGCATCAATCCTGCAGAGAGCTTTA